CTTTAAAAAGCAAATCAACTTTTTAATATTTTCCCTAAACGCTAACTAGACAGTGAGAAAATGAAATTCCTTCAAGAACTGTTAGTCGGACATAAAGTGGTACTAAAATCCATTTATCTGCGCTTAAGCGTCTACAAGCGACTACATGCGAGTATATACTTGTATGTATTTAATAATCTGTGCCAGGCAGAGCTGTCGACGAATGTGATGGGAGCACTCATCTGGAGCAATGAGTTGAAGGGCATTCGGGATGTATGGCTGCAATTAAACACGCTGTACTATGGCTGGCAAGAGTAAATAAACATAAAAATGAAAATACAAATAGAAATAGAAATAGAAAAAAATGGAAATAGAATTAGAAATGGTACTAGGACAACCTTTTGAGTGGGCATCAACAAGAGGGGGATTATGGCAATCAATGCGCAGGCAATCAGAGGCGAGCCCAATATGGCTTAACCATACGACGGCTGAGGCGGTCTAGTATCTGGCTGGATTTTGTACGGATTGTGTGTGGATTGTGTGTGCTGTGCCCTGTTTGGTCGTATTGTGTCGTATGGATGGTTGAATGGATGCTCGATGCTCGAAGCTCGAAGCTCGAGGCTTCATGGGGTGTTTTGCCGCAAAACTCATGAGTGAGTGGCTATTGGGTGTGGGTGTGTGGGTGTGTGAGTGTGTGAGTGTGATGTGTGGTGGCATTGCGTGCATGTCAACGTGCGTGAGCATGACTCATGTCACCCACGAGCATACGAGTTCATGAGTCCTTAGAAACAAAAAAACAAAAAAACAAAAAAAAAACAGAATGGGCGAGCAACTAAAATTGAAATGCAAGCAAAAGGCTGGAATAAAAGTGTAGCTAAGCAACCAGTAGCAACAACAACAGACTGACAGACAGGCGGGCAGGCAGGCTTGTCGACCTATAACGGTAACTTGTGTGGATCGGCTTACAGCAGCAGCAGGAGCAGGGGCAGGAGCAGGACTGAGTCACCTCCCAAATGCCCTCTACTGCCTTCGGGTCAGTCACAGTCCGAGTCACAGTTCGCGCATTTCATATCAAACAGCAGGAGTAGGAGAGCAGGCGCTTTGCCATAAATTGCTGGCAATACAGCAACAGCAACAGCAACAACAACTACATCAACAACCATCTTGAATAGCGGCATTAAAGTATCAGCTCACACACACACACACTGAAGTGAAGCGCAAACAAATTGCAGGCTGCATACAAAACAAGCGGTCCTTGGTGGAGGCCCACCACTCGTACGAGTGCGGGGCAGACAACTTAAAGAAGCAGCTTAAATGCCCCATTATAAATGGTTTGAGTCCTGCCTGCAATGACGTGTGAACGACCCACCACCACCACCCTCCCACACCCTCCCACAAGCACGCCTCGCCACCCCCATGCTCTTGCCATTTGTTTTGCCTTTTTTTTGTATTTTCAAACAGAAATATGAATTAGATAGGGCTTTCGCTTGGTATGACATGCAAGTGTGTTTCCTCCCCCCCCCCCCCCCCCCCCCCATCTCCCCCAACTCGCCCTACCTGCGTCTACACTCATATGTACACATGAATATATGCGAGGTCTGTTCAAAAGAAAAGGTGCATTTTGAATTATCGATTTCGATTCAATTCGAATTCGATTATCGATTTTTTTTTGTTGGTACACATATGGTTATTATAAGTATGTTGGATTGGTAGTTTGCTGTTGCTAACTGAAAAGGTTTGTCACGTCTTTGTTGACTTTTGACAAAAAAGAAATTGGATCAAAGAATATGTATTAAATTTTGCGTTAAAAATGGAAAAAAGTGCTCCAAGGCACTTGAAATGTTGACTGTGGCGTTCGGTGAGTCCACTTTGTCTTAAAAAACTGTTTACAAAAGTCCGAGAAGATGTTGTCCGCGTCCACACCCAACAGAGAAAACATCGAAACAGTGAAAATAATTATTTTGGAAAATTGTCGAATCACCATTAGGGAAGTTGCAGAGGATCTTGGCATATCAATCGGCTCAAGCCATGCAATTTTCTCGAATGTTTTCGGCATGAAACGTTTCTTCCGAAATTGCTATATTTTGAGCAAAAGCAATGTCGTTGCTCCTGATTTTTTGGCCAAAAACAACAACGTTATCATGTCTCATCAGATTTGCTTCCCTGCGACTTTTTCCAATTCCCCTAAACTGAAGAGACCAGTGAAAGGAAAGCGTTTTGCCACAATTGATGAGATAAAGGTAGAATCAAATAACGAGCTGGTGGCCATACCGAAAAGCGCATTTCAGAAGTGCTTCGAGGATTGGAAGAAGTGCATTATATCTGGGGGAATTAATTTAAAGGGGACAAAACTGCATATTGATGAATAAATAAATACTTTTCAAAAAATTCAAAATTCACCATTTCTTTTGAACAGACCTCGTATAAGTGCATATGTGTACTATATGTGTCTGTTTGTGTGTGTACTCGTATTTGTGTATGGCCAGACAAATTGCTTTGAATCATTTTACAAACGTCGAAATTGGTAAGGCAAGCACGTCGACAATGTCGAAGTCCAACGGGTGGTCGGGTCAGTTTCTATTCGGAACGGGCACTGTATTCTTGTATTGCTGGGGTCACGCAAATTGTTTTGAAATAATAAAAAAAAGACGAGGACGACGACGACGAAGAAGGCATTTCAGTTAAGCGCATATGGAAAAATAATGTGCGGCCATAACTTTAAGCACAGAGTGTGGCAGACTGACTGAACGAATCAAAATTAAATTACATTATAAGAGTAATGTCCTAGAACTGTCGCTTTAGTTCTCAGAAAACCTTTGGTTGTCTGTGCAAATTGTGGGTCGTTGAGCGCCAATGGCTTATTTGATTTATTCAGAATAAACAACATAATTTTGTTTTCCATCAACTAGTGAACACCTACGCTTTAGCCGGAACCGGGTTCACGTCCTCACTGCATTTATTATGGAAAACTGTGTCAGTGGCCATCATTTGACATTAGAAGCAAAAGAGAAACATCGCCTGACTTAATTGACTGACAGACAAGTACAGTAATATTTTCCCTGTAAATACTGACTATTACACTCGCAATTACAACAACTTAAATAAAATGATTATTTCATCAATATTTCAATTTAAGCCGCTTAAGATACATATGTGAATGAACTTAACGACTTATTCGTGAATAAATTATTGCCAAAGACAATTCCCTAAATACCTTCAGCCGGATAAACATGAAATCATTGCCATATTACTGCTTTATTTATTTTAAATCAACTGTAAATACATATTAAAATTTTCCCAAAGATTTGCAGGCTCTATTCCCCTCCTGTTGCTATTACTGCAAAAATTGGACTGAGTGGGATTTCTGTTTGCAGATCTGCTTCATTTAATAATGTGCTTGTCGTTCTTCTTAATGTGAAGCTTAAAATATATATTGATTAAATAATAAATGTCGCTGTTAGTTGTACTAAGAAGTTCTGTTTGAACTTTTGAAGAAAGGGCTATGCAGTTCATTGAACTACCTTCTGCTTCTCTTTATTGTGAGGAAGTGTAGATAAACATACTATTGAGCATTAACAAGTCTTTACTTGTCTTAAAAAAGTTTGTTTTTCTATTTATTCGGTCGCCTTTAACTGATTTCGTTTACATTAACCGAAGCTTCAACTTTAAAAGAGTCGTATTCGATTAGTTGATAAAGTTTTGTAGCTTCAAAGGCTTTTCATTTAGCTTTATTTAAAAGGAGAAGAAAAAACGCTCACACTTACATTTGAGTTCTCTGAATATTTCATATTTCTTCCATCGAATTGAAATTCAAAGTTGGCCGAAATGGCCTGGCAGCTATTTTCAATGAAGCAATGAAGCGCAAATAATTGTTTCATAAAAGAGTTTATTTTTCGAATTTCTGAATTCTGATTGAACTGTTTTTTTTTTCTCCCCTCCAATGTATGTATTATCATTTTGTTAAGCAGTAGGAGATGGAATGAGTAAATAGGATTTGAATTTCTGCTGTCTCTTTGATATTCAAAGGTATGTGGGGAACAAGCAAGAATAGACAGTTGGGAATTTTCATTTTATATTTTTATATTGTTAAAAATGGGCAGGAGGGCCGAATTCAAATTAATTCAGTCTTTTGAACCGTTCTTGCCATTAAATACACCTACATACTCATATGTGCACCGAAAATGTCATTAATTAGATATGGGTATATAGAACAGTGAATGAGTGTGTGTGTACTCGTATGTGTGCGTGTGGCAAATAAAAAAAAAGAAAAGCAAACGCAAAGCAAACGCCTGCCATTAAACAAAGGAGCCCAAAACAAAAGCATATTCTAAACGGCTGCTTCAGCGGTAAAAGAGTTGGCCAGCATGCAGGAGGGGTAGCCAGGCACACGTAGGCAGGCTGATGAGATGGTAGGATCGCAGGATGGCAGCTTGGCAGCTTGGTAGCATGGTAGCATGGCAGTGTGGCATGCGCGGCAACTAAGCAGGCGGCTGTAGCTGCTTGTGGCTGCTTTTATATGCAAATTGGCTGGGCACCAAAAAAGTATGCTACACAAAAGTATACATGTGTATATGTGTGCGAAAGCGTTGTGTGCGTGTAAATGATGTGCGTGTGTATTAGTGTGTGTGCTTACTTTTGACGCCTACTGCTGTTGTTGCTGTTGCTGCTGCCGCTGCGGTAGCGGCCAAAAAATTGTTTAATTAAGCCAATATTTGCGCACACTCGTGTCCTGTGTGTGCAAGTGTATGTATGTGTGTGTGTGTGTTTGTTCACTCGATTACTGTGAAACACATTGCGTAGCATACTTTGCGGCTGCATATGAAATACTTGGCCTAAAGGCACACACACACACACACCAAAGCACAGGTGTGCTCGGCTCGTGTCTCTGCCCATTCTCTCACACAAACACACAAACACACACACACAGATACGCATAGGCATACTCGTATGTAGATATATATATATAGTATATGTATATTATCTATGTATATAGCTATGTTTGTTCAGATAGTATGACTCACCTGCACCGTGCCAATGACAACGACAACAGCCAAAAGGCCTTGCAGCAACAAATTACGACGCAACGACGCGCACATTTTCTTTACCACTGGCTCTTCGCTCTAATACGCTCTACTGTTTATTTCTTCTGTCTTCGCTTTTCCTCTGAATTTGGTGTGAGAGTGTGCGTGTGTGCGTGTGTTTTAACACGTTTTCGATTGTTGTTTTTGCTGTTGCTGTTGCTTTTTGTTTGATTTCTCTCTTTTTCAGTTATTTGCTCTCAACTGTGTCACACAAGCATGAGGAATAATCAGGCAAATAAAATTAAGAAAAAATTAAGGCAACTCTGCATTAACAATAAAGAAAACAAGAAACAATGGAAACTTTTCCTCGTTTTCGTTTACGCTGCCCCCAAAACTGTGCAACGGACACGAAATTCAACTACAAAGTGTACACGCATACACACACACACACACACAAGCACACTAGCACACATTGTATGAGTGCGTGTGTGTGTGTGTGCGTGCGTCGAACGTAGTAGTATTTTATTGTGGAACGTAGTAGAAGCAACCAAGTGTGCTGCGAGAGATAGAGAGCGAGCACTGAATTGAGAATGACGGCGAGAGAGAGGAGAGAGAGCAAGAGAGAGCAGAAGCAAAGTACAGGCACATGTGCGCTACTCGTCAGTTCGCCTACTCGCCAATGGTATTGGTCTTGGTCTTATTGTTTTCCAAATCTCCTGCGCTCGAGCTATTGCAGCATAAACGATTAACGCTCAGCATAGCATGCCTTTAAGAGAACCTGTTGGTACTAGGTTGTTAACTCGAAACTGTCACGAACTTAAAGAACTTGAACATTTCTAAAGAGAGACTGTATTCAATGCCATTTATTTCAAACCGAGTTCAGCGTCTTAAGCCCAAGAAATGTAAACGCTTTACACACTCAAAGTATGCCCCAAATTGTTTGCTTTGCTATTCAATCCTATCGTCATCGTTACCGCTATGCTCATCGATTCAGCACGGCATTACTTTTGTGCTTGCTTCAATTTAAAAAAAAAAAAAAAAAAAACACTTTGAATTGGAATTGGAGTCAGCTGAAGCGACATAACGCTGCGTGAGCGAACAATGCAGCATTGCGCACGCACACTTACAGGACACACATCGACACAAACAGCCCTCTCTCTCTCCCTCTCCCACTCTCACTCCCACTCCCTCCTTGCTCCTTCTCTATCAGTCGCGAACTCCCTGTGACTGACTCTCGTGCGTTGCGCAAAAATGTTAAACAGCAACACAAAACGATTTTCTTTTTTTTTTGTTTAACTGACACAACAAATGACTAAATTGAAAATTAAATCAAAAAAAAAATTATTTTCGTAAATTGATTTCGGTTTAAGACTCTTTGCACTGTGTTTATGTTTTTCTTCAACATTTGTATTTGTACACGCACTGAAAAAAAATAAATAATTCGAATGCCGACACAACAACAAAAAAAAAGTTCTAATGATTTTTTTTTCTTCTGCTATTGTGGAATTTTTGGACTTGACTCGAACCAGGTTAGAAATTTGCTGTTCTGTTTGTTCTGGGCGCAAGCAACTGAAGAGTACTTGGCGCTACGAACGCTCACAAACGACTGCAAGTGGCGGTGACCGCACGAGCGACTCGTTGCCTCCAAAAGGAGCGGCGACTGCGCAGTCGGAGCATCGAGTCCTGCGCCTCGCATGCAAGCCGAACAATCGATATTTAATGCGAAATGTGCCCTCACGGGGGTGGATTTCCAGCCAACAGCAGGTGCAGCCCTGGTGCAAAAGCTCAGCTTCAGAAAGCTCTCAAGCGATGCATACGCATGAGCAGGAAAAGGTTTCCGCTCGAAAATTCTTATGCAGTGCAGTTCTCTGAACACTGCAACTGAAGCTCTCCAAACGCGGCTTATTTCGAATGTCGGACAGAGACATTGTGAATTGGTTAGGTCCGCGAAATAATTTTGTGTTACAGTACATCCTTTTTGGAAGGAACTAAAATGCTGATTCTCTCTTTAGTTTTATGCAAACCTTACAAGATTAACAATGGGGATCTTTTTTCTCGCTCAATTAAAGATTTTTTGAAAGAGTATAAACAGTCGTAGACAAATGATGCTTTAAGATTAGCACAATAGAGATATACTTAGTAATGTTATTTGAAATAGACATGTTCATTTGTCCGAGCGTATGAACACCGAGAACTTTTCAAATAATACAACTAGCAGCACCAAATTTTGTATGTAGACTTGTCTGAGCTACATGCACATCAAGTTTATTATAAACCATATACCACCTTCGTACTTTATATAGGTGTCATGAAAAGTGCCAAAAACTTTTCTCTTTATAAGCTTTATAAGCTTTATAAGCATATTTTTAAATAATTTGACACCAATAAATTGTCAACTTTGTCACTCTTATTTCTTTCAATCAGCCCATATTTTTTTTAATATTTCTGTTGAGAATCGATCACATTCGTTTTGGCATTAAGTTAACTACATTTTAAAGAAATCGTTCAAAATATTATAGTACTTCCCATCCATACACGGATTGTGAGAAATGATGGTCCAACGATTTTGAAATGGGTTAAGATCGTGCCTTGATGCTGGCCTCGCTGTTGTTCCCCATGGATTGGAGCTTATTTAATTCGCAGACCTATTGAGTGATAAAGTAAATTCATTTTATTCAAATGTTCAATCTTGCATAATTAATTCTAGACTTTGTTAGCAAAAGCCATGATTAGATCATCATCAGCATAAGTGCGTGAAAAGATCTCCTAAGAATACGCACTTGAAGCACAAGTTGTAGGCTTAGTGGCTTTGTTTTGAATCAATCGTGTTTATTAAAAATATCTTAAGCTATTGCCAAAAAACAGTTCTGTGCACTCGGTTCTATATATTATTTTATGATATAATATGCGTAGAGTTTCGTAAAAATCAGCTTCTGGCTCAAAGAATCTTTCATTACGAAAAGGCGTGGGATTAAGAATGGGGGAAAAAAAAATGAAATGAACAACTTTTTAACAGATAGAATGTCCCTCTTCTTGTTCTGTCCAAAAAAAAAGCGTTTTCGGTTGTAAACAGGGGTATATTGGCTATGAAGCATAATTGAAGACAAAGTATAAAGAAAAGTCGCCTAAGTCTCCAATTTGTGCCATTTTTTTCTTTTATGTAATACACATATAAAGTTATTTAAGCTTTAAAGTCTATTAAAAAAATAGAAACATATATATATATATAATAACCTACAATATATTTATCCTTTTTGTGTCTTACAAAAATTTCTTAGCTATGATAATGCTTGCAGCCCTGGCTCTAGTTTCTTTGAAAATTTCGATATACGAATTTATTGTGCACTTTCGAAAAGAAATCATTTCAGGTATTTCATACATACATATATTATGTGCTAGGGCGTACGCAGGGGGGGGGAGGGGGGGGGGCCGTTGCACCCCCCTAGAAAAAATTTTTCCATATAAAGTCGACCACACGTTCATTATTATGACGCTCTATTTCGCCTTAAGATGGATCTGCGTTGAATTTGTTGAAGTTTTTTCATCGATCATATGCATAAATTATTTTTTAAATGCATCGGGCATTATTTAATCAAAATTTTAATTTTTTGGGCCCCCCCTTTGGTAAAAGCTGGCTACGCCCTTGATTATGTGTGTGTATACTGCGCATGCGTTGGGTTTGGATAGTCCTAGTCAGGACAAGAACCCAGAAAGCTCTTCAAAGAGGAGACATCAACTGAATAATTCATTTGAGTCTACCCGGCAAGGCTCAAAGGACTATTAGCAAGCTTCGTTTTACGTTCATGGTTTTATGTTTCGCAAAAGAGATTATTAGTTAGTAAAACTACTATATACGTGTGGTTACCATAAATCGCGATTAGAACATATTAAATATGTATATATATACATATATTTCGAATTCCACTATTTACAATTACTCGGCAAACTGTTAAGGTTTTATAGAAAAAATATATAAAAATAAATAAGTACAATTGATTCAGAAATTTACATTAATGTACATTGATAATAATAATTAAATTAATTATCATTTTAAATGTCATCCAAATCGATCGATTCTGGGAAAAGGTATTAGATTTTCTTCATGATTTTACTTCTCTAAAGCATATAGCACAGCAGGCTTTTTTGTTTTGGATTTAAAGTAACATTCTCTCTTGTTTTATATACTTTTATGATGCTTACAGTGGGCGCCAAAAGTCTACATACGACCCCATATTTTGCTACCTGGCAGAACCAAAGGTATTTGTTAATAAAATAATTATGCAGTTTCGTAACTTTTCTCTTTTTATGAAAGAAAACGGCAAATCATAAACTTCATATGTATTCTTACAAAGATTTAACAGTTTGGAAATTGGGGTCATATGTAGACTTTTAGCGCCCACTGTATTTATTATGTTGCTAAAGAGAAACAGCCCGTTGAAAAGTGTGGCAAACATTTGTGACAAATGGTGAAGCATTTTATTTATTTACTTTAATTTTTACAATCCTAGGCTTTTAGTATTAAATATTAGTATTTATTTCATACAGTATTTATTAGCATTTGTTCTAATTAAGTTTTGCGTTCAAATCGGTAGCATCCGATTAGGCTAAAATAAATTAAACTATCCAGGTGGGTAAGAAAAAAAAGTTCCGGCCAAATACCGGCTGGTATATCGTTTGAGAACTCTGCTATACGATGTCGATCGAATCAGTCTAGGCTTTCTAACAACTAGATGCTAAGGAGGCTGCAACTAGACGAGACTATTTGAGTCCACGGCCGGCGTGGTGTCCTGTGCCTCAATCAGCAATTTGGGTCTGGCCGTGGTGTTGCCGGCCGGATTGGCCGGCGTCGAAGGAGCATTTTGCTCGCCAGTGACTGCTGTCAGAGCTGGAGCCTGTGCCTGAGCCTGAGCCTGAGTCAGAGCCTGGGCAGCAACATCCTCATCATCGTCCTCCATGTTGCGAGCCTGCATTTGTGCGGCGCTCTCCGCAGATGCGGAGTCAGCCGTGGAACTGATGGTGACACCTGAGCCACTGGCAGCAGAGCTCGGCGGCATGGCGGCGACGCTCACCGGACACATGCAGGGCACAAACTGAATGCGAGTGCCACTCTTGTCCATCAGGGTGGTGCTCTGCGGCTGATAGTTGAAGTACTCCGGATACGGGTATTGCGGTCGGGCATTATACAGATTATTCACCCGTCGACTGTACGTGGGATAGTCCGACTGGTAGGCGAAACGGGGCGGCAGTGGTGGCAGCTCTGTGCTGCTCGTTGTAGTCGGTGGTGCAGGAGTAGTCGTCGTCGTTGTTGTGGTGCTCGTAGTGGTAGTCGTCGGTGTGGTGGTCGTCGTGGGTGCCGCTGTAGTTGTGCTGCTAATCGGTGGACTGCTGGAGAGCGCTGGCGGCGTCACGCCCGGTTTGCCCGCATCGTGGCGTCTGGCGGCGGCATAGCTGGTTATGGCATACGGATCGTAGCGTGGACTCGACAAGAGCGGTGTCTGCGCCGCCCCAAAGCCAAAGAATGGAAAGCTTAGCGGACTACCCGGCAGCGGCTGGTACGTATAGGTGCGGAAATAGGTGAGCGGGATTTGCTGCATCATCGCGGGTGCGGGTGCGGATGCGGGTGCTTCGCTGTGTGGAAACATAGAAGGGTTCAGCTAGATTATTAAACAAGGCCCCACATCCTGTGCCACTTACGTTGTGGTTGGTGCGGTTTGAGGCCACCAAAACGCATTTGCCGCTGGCAATGTCCATAGAACGCCAATAAACTAAAAGAACAGATCGCAAGAACGAAAGAAAAGCCAAAAAAATAAAGTGAAAAATTCATGTTCAATTAGAAACAATTAAAATCAGTCTAAACGACTTTGTTGTTACAATTGATAAAAGGCTTCCAATACTGACTGATCGGAACATCTAATGTTTATAGCTTTTTAATTGTTTCTGTTAATGACGACCATCGCAAGTATAGTAGTACTCGTAGTTCCCGCAACTCCTATTCAAGCTATTTTGGACATTTTTCACGTTTGATCCATGAAATCCATGGATCCAGCATTATTTTTACGTTATCGAGATATTAATATTTAGCTCCTTCACCTTACTCCTACCATTCCCGTAGAATTATGTCTACATCCACAAAATATTTCATCTTCAACGTTGATCATATCTTTAGATTTATTTGAAAATAATAACGCATATATGAGAGATATAGAATATTTATATTTGGTCTAGCTCTGTATATGCATATAGTTTCATCTCTAGTCTCACCATTAAAACAAACAGACGGACTACAAAGCCGATCGAAGGAGAAAATGAGGGGATTCCCGCGGCACCAGATTTTTCCTACAGCTCTGAATACAACATGTTTAATCATAGTACTTTACGGAGCATTTAAGTTGTACGATTCGAAACAGCGTTTCTTCTCGCTAGCCCCGTAGATTAAAATTGTTTATACTATAAAATATTATAACAAAATAAAGGTTATGTTGAACGTTAATAAAATTGTAGAGTACAGTTTTATTATAACTTGAATGCTCAATACTGCACGTTTGAATTTATTTGTAACTATGAGTTCGCTCTAATCTAAAAAAAAAGTTCTACACAGCGTTACCTTTGACTCCTCATACCCCTTGGCTATACAGTTCTTGAGGTACTTAAGACCTAAAAGTATTCGATTCCGTCTATATTATTAATTTTGAAAGTAATTCTTGACATCGTCCCAAGCTATAAAGCTGAGCAAGAGATTAATGCCAAAGAAAGCAATAAAACTTTGGATTACATATGTTGGCTAAGAAGAGAGACTGAGAGAAGATTTGAGATGTGGTAGGATATTTACTTTTTTCGTTTGGAACATTAGGAATGTCCCAAAACGATTAATGACTAATATGTTCGTTGCATTAGATTGATGGAAAATACGTAACAGCCTGCTTTCCTATGCCTGGTATAATCAAATAAAGAGTTTTATAGGCATATTCATGTATTCTTCATTTAACAAAGTTGATCTAAAAACCTAAATTACACAGCAGGAACAAGAACAGGTGCTGCGTCAACCCAGACAAGATTAATTAGCACTATGCGAGCTGTCTTTTTCTGTAGCGCCTATTAAAAAAAATTGAGAAAATAATGACCTACATAACTGATATATAATTTATATCTTTGGCACCTTCTAAGAGCTATAGACAGGATCCACAAATAGACAAATCAACGAACCCGGCTCTGTTTTTTGGCAACACCTTCTATAGTTTCGGGTACACGAATAAGAACAAGTCCTTACTTAACATTGAACGCCTATCTGCCTTTATGGAGTCAAATTCTTATCAAATTGATTATCCTTAGCTCACTTCAATGGAGATTTGGAACGGCTTAGGGATTTTTTGCAAGGATTTGCCCTTTTTAGTGGCTTGTTGATTCAAGCATTCCGATTTGCACTTTTATGTAATGGCGGAGAAAAAAACACAACTTAGATGACAATTGTCGAGCACATACCACAAAAAACTGCCACATTTTGTCTCTGTTTTCACGAACTCTTGACACCGTTCACTATTCTTGTTAGTCTATCCTTTGCGACAGGATATGCGCACACAGAAAAGTCAGCGCGCGGAGATTACTTAAAAAAAAATAAAAATAAATAAATAAATGAAGCTCGTTCTGGTTGCACTAAACAGAGTCGCGTCTTCGCGGCACACACGCATGCGCAGCTGCAGTTCTTTTAAAACGAAAAATAGTTAGACGGCGAGCTTTTATACGCGCGCCATCTGCCCGCTTGCGGGGCAGCTGATGGACAGCTGCATGGATGGATGGATGGATGGACGCCCCCATGGGCCATGGGACGGGCAGATCAATTGTCTGCCCAACAGCAATGATCGTAAAACATGAAAGCCACAGCAGCGCGCATGCTTCTTCGACTGTTTCTCTTCTCTCTCTCTCTCTCTCTCACCTTCGTTCTCACTCGTTCTCTTCAACTGCCAACATTTTTAGTTGTCTTCGTATGCTTTTTCGTTTTGTTTTTTTTTTTCTTGGATAGAACAACAAGAAAATTAATTGCAGGCTTGGAAAAATCTACAAAAAAAAAAAAAAGAGTCGTAAGAGCGAAAAATAAGCTGGGAAATCAATAATAATAATGAACGCATGTTTAGAATAGAAAGCCACATCATTGACTAAATGATTGAATGAATGACGGCACGTTGCAGCAAGAACTTCGGCCCAGGTGGGCTGGGCTGAACTCGGTCTGGGTCTTGGCCTCAGTCTCAGTCTCAGACTTCGTCTCTAGTCGCTGCTGCTGCTGTTGTTGTTGTTTTGTTGTTGCGGCGTTTCTTAAAAGGGCGGACTGTTCATCCATTGGGACCATTGGGCGTTGGCAATGAATTGGCCATAAAACTTGTTGATGACTTTTTCTCGCCATGTTTGTTGTACAACATTTTTTGCTTTTTAACACATTGGCTGGGAAATTCGTTTTGTTTTGTGCGGTCAGCAACAAAATTGGGTCAAAGAGTCCTAAACTTTATTTATTTATTTTTGCAACGATTATGCAATCAAAGCGACCCTGCAAGTGAAGACTTTGGTATTCCCCCCCCCCCCCCCCCCCCCCTCCACCTCTTTGGCTCTATTGAGTTGTCTAAGCTTATGTTTTATGGCAACTTTCTAGACACACATACACACAATGGACTCGCCTTAAGCCACACGGGGCTTTGCTCAGGAATTTATTATCGCTTTTATGAGCTGTAAACCAAACTGTTCCAGTTAGAATGCGTTTGGGTCGCGCATTCCCAATGCGCGCATCTCACAAATGCATTTCTTGAGAGGCGTTAATGAGCGTGATTCTAATGGCCCATCAACTCGCACACGAACAATTCAATTGTGTAACTTAAAAGAGAGCGGGAGAGCAAGTAACTCCATTTCTTAGCATCATCTTTTGATCACATTTCAGTCAGATTGAGCGGGGTGGACTAATCTGAAAAACTAAACTGAACTATGCTTCAAACTAAGAACAAACTTCTTTTACATTCTCAATGCACATATCTCACACGTAGTTCTAATGGCCCATCAACTGAATTATATAACTTAAAAGAGAGCGGGAGATATTCGTAGCTTCATGGCTTAGCATCATCATCTTTGGACTTGGAAGAAGAGACTATAATCACACAAACTGAACTCAACTATTCTGCGGACTTACCAGAGAGTGGAAGAGCAAGTAACTCCATTTCTTAGCATCATCTTTTGATCGCATTTCAGTTAGATAGGGCGGGGTGGACTAATCTGAAAAACTAAACTGAACTATGCTTCGAACTAAGAACAAACTTCTTTTACATTCTCAATGCACATATCAAGTGAATTGTATAACTTAAAAGGGAGCTGGAAAGCGAGAGATATTCGTAATTCCATGGCTTAGCATCATCATCTTTGGACTTTGAAGAAGAGACTATAATCACACAAACTGAACTCAACTATACTTCGAACTTAACAGAGACTGGGATAGCGGGAGATATTCGTAACTCTATTACTCGGCCACATCGTATTTTGACTCTAAAGAACAGACTGATATAAAAACTCACTACAAACCGCAAAAAGTCTTAAGTATGCTTCTTCCTTTTTTGTAAGGAAATGATTCTACGAAGACAAAATTTCTTATGTGTCAAAAGAACCTGACGAAACAGTCGATAGGAAATTATCCACTTGCTCATCTGTTTATCTTACGAAACAGTCGATGGGAAATAATTCTGAGAAGTCATACCTTTTTCGTATTTTGCCCTTAAAACTAGAATCAAAAGAAGATATCACAAAATGTTTGGTGGGAAAAAGTGTTATACTAAGAAAATGTCTTGTGTTCCTGTAACAGCAACATAAATTACTAGAAAAGAAAAAAGTACTCATGTAAGTTATTTGGAAATTGCAAAATATAAGTATCAGTCCGCATTTATCTATAATGTCGTATTTTTTATTTGTTCAAAAATTATATGATATAAATATAAATATCATTCAAAAATCGTATAGTTTTTCCATACAGTTAATCTTTTAAAGTCTTCTTATAGAAAGTATTTGGAAGATTTGCTATCGACTACTATTATTTTATTCGTTTTGTGGAAATCGAGTATCAAACTTCCTTTTGTACATCTATTCATCATCAACGACCACCCTACGTTTTTAAATTAATTGCATTCTGCGTGTACTTGGAGGTATAGTATTTGGTTTTCCCGTATGTCTGGGAGCTGTGATGCGGTCCCTTGTAGCTACAGAGAAACAAAACCCATTGAGTTCAGTTCAAAATCAGGACCATTTGCCAAGTTACTCACCGGGAATTCAAAATAAACCAGGTGTTGTTCGGTTCATGCTCCGTAGAAGCATCACCCCTAAAAGGGCTTCCAACACTGTTCCTGCTGATGATGCTCCCGGGTTCTTGGAGCAGCTTGCCAAGCGTGTAAACGGGAAAGGCGTAGAACTCACGCTTCCCGGCATAACGCGAGCTCTGGCGCTGAACGGGTGGTGTGATGGTTGTGCTCTCTGGCTGCTCGGATGGGGCTCCGGTGTGTGGGCGCTCGAGACTCTCATCGACATATACGATGTGGAAACTGGATGGCGGACTGCTGGTGGTGGTCTGGACTAGCTCTGGCTCCTTGGATGGCAGCAGTTGCTGCTGCAGTTGTTCGATTTCCTGCTCCAAGCTGCCTAGCTCCAGTTCCAGACCCAGGCTCTGGCTGCTCTCATTCGAATCGGTGGGCTGGCGGTGGTTGTGGCGATGATGGCGAGTGGTCTGCAAGGAAGCTGGCAACGTTGGCTGCCATTGCACTTCCTGTGGCGAGTGGTAGGCGGTATATTGCTTGGCCTTCTTGCGTTTCCGTTTGCGGTGGCTGCGCGGCAGCTGAGTCTCGTGGGGCGTGGCATCGGTGGTGGTGTGTGGGGGAGGGGGTCTGGTTGATAGCATCAGGCTGGTGGGCGGGCTGATAGCTTCATGGGCGTAGAAGGGTATCAGCGTCAGATTGAGGAGTTCCCGATGACCCGGAAAACGGAAACGCTCCACAATTGGCTTGGGCCGGAACATGGGTGTCGATGGCGGATAGAGCACCTGCCCCGGCACCGGCTCCTTCATCGGATATCGCTGAGTGCTCAGCATAGTGTTCACTATCAGCTCACCCCTGGTGCCATTGTACACAAATAGTGGATACTGATCGGCCATGGGCAGCGCATTATCCCCCGGTGCACTGTCAAAGATGGGCAGCGCCATTGGCTGTCGTCGCCGTTGCGCCACCGCCGCTGGTTTGTGGCTGTGGCGGCGCTGCTGCACGTAGCTATGTGGCAGCTGTAGACGTCGTGGCAGCATGTGGCGTGGCTGTGCCACTGGCTGGGGCAGCGACAGTGCCAGTGGCAGTGGCTGCGACTGCCCAGTGGCGGCCTGTGGTGCGCCTTGGCGCACCAGAAACGTTATGGACGCCGGCTCCATGTAGCGCGCCTGTCGCGGCGGCTCCAGCGTTGTGCTCGTTTCCAGCAACTCCTGCCGATTCTCACGCTCGCGCTTCGCCAACTGATCCTCCAGTATCCAGAGCGGTCGGTTGGCCCTCATCGGCTGCTGCTGGGTAAGCACGCCGCTCAGCAAGGCCATCAGTATCGCTGTCACGTCCATTCGCATGCGCCTCACTCGCTCGATTAAATGGAGAGGCGCTGGTGACAAACCGAGTCTTTATAGTCTTCAGACCTCCGAATTACTGGCACACGCACATGTGCCAGCACAGACAAGTACACTTCAAGAAACCATCAAGTATTTTCATTCTAAAATCAAAATCAAGCACGAATCTACAAGTAATTATCATAAACTTATACACATTGTTCTAAGCATCCAAATACAGTGCAAGCTCGATAGCTCAAACAACCATTTCGTGCTCATTGTAGACGCTGTAAGATCTGTGGTTTCATTTTTTTCCCTATTTAGTATATACTGTTTACATAATTTCTTTGGAATTGTTGTTGCGTCGAAGACTAACGCAGCTCTAGCTGTCGGGCTTATTGAGGTTATACTGTACTTAATAATATACACATTGAAGTACATTCTTTCGTTTTTTTGATCAAAAATCGTGATGAATGGGTTTGGATTCACGGCAAAAAGGTATTTTTCCTTCTACTTCTTTTCTTCCACTTTATTTTCTTTTCTACAAACATAATACACCCTTTCTAAGCAAGCACTTTTCCAATATTTGCATACCATTGATAGAAAAGTAACGTGCTCTATCTCGCTTGATATTTAGGGGCAATTTCATCGTACAATGGTAATACAATTTACTTTTATATATTTAAACTTGAAAAAGCAAATAAATTCGATGGCGACAAATGGAAAATGGGAACTGACTCTATTTTCATATCATGATTAGCTCAACAAACACACCTACTTGACCCATGTTCCTTAATATAGTCCAAAACAACTGAAGCTAATAGCTGATAACCCACTCGAAAACTCTAGTCCATTTGAGTTGCATTCACGAGTCTTACTCTTCTACTTGTTTCACTTTTTGAGTTTCTTTCTTAGTTATACTTTATGATATCTTGAATTCTTTTGCATATTTTTAGGTTTTTCTTTTTGTCATTATTATTATTATGATTATTTTCTTGTATATATATTTATATTGTTGTTTGCAAAGTTAGCAGTTTCAAATAAAATAAATACAAAAATTATTTTCTGTATTAGCATCCATCGTGGACAATCATTAAATAGGTTAAATAGATTTGACAATTAATTCATTTCAGTCCCAGGGGAGGTCCAGATTAAAATACATGTTTATTGCTTAAACATTTTATATAAAAATCTGTCTTTTTTCTCTGAGTGTACATACTCGTAATTAGGTACTCACTCACTTACAACTTACTTTCATTTGGCGAATCACACAAAGCAGACCGCACATCGCACTTTGCAACTGGTTCTGAGCAGGTTGTGGAGTTCAGTGGGTAAGCAAGTTGCATTTGTCGGACGTTTGGGCCCCAATTGGCCACTAGGTCACACAAATGAGAGGCCAACTAAATGTACGTAATGACAGAGAAACACACCACTAAGTGAATACGCTTCCAATTTCCAAATAGATACAAACTGCTGAGATAAAACAAGACTCAGTTATGAAGTTGACCAAAGCGCGAATTCCTACAACTACTTTAAACAGTAGATCGAGGGTTCTAGACTCTAGTCTAGAAATGTGGTTTGTTTTTAAGAAAATAGTTGTTAGCAAGCGAGAAAATGTGAATGAAAAATCAACAGTTTGGTTAAACTTTTGGTCTAATCTGCTGAGGCCATATTACTCACCTATTCAAGCTCCTTGCCAAGTTCCATAAGCAAAATGTTTTCACGATCCTCCAAAAACCTAGCCAGCAAAATTAGGACCTTCTAGGTTTTCTTCTAGGCTTCATCATTTCTAGAACATATTCAAATTTGAAGTCAATCTTAGACAACAATTTGTGAACCTGTTAACAGAAATGTAACTGAATCCCGCACTGACCATGGCGTTCCAGGTCTAACAGATATATCTTATCTTATCTTAGCTGCTTGGAAAAATACCGAAAATTGAATTTAGAGAACAAATCTTTATTAACATACTATTATGTTGTTGTATAAAATAATGTGAAGGTAAAGGTCTGAAAACTGGGTAGAGTAGGCATTAAATATTTCTCAATTTCTCCCATGTCTACTGTTGCCAGCGACCTTAAAGGTTTGGTCAGACATGCAAATAATTTGCACACAAATTTGTCGAATTCCGCATGTGAGTTGTGAAGAAAATGGTGCTGCAGCTAAAACCGATAAGAATTGTAAGCGGAAACAGTATATAGTTTGATGAAGCTGGAAAAACTAAAGAATACCAAAGTTCCCTATGATACATATCTTTATTAACAACAAAGTCTCAGATAGTAAGATGCTTGATTTCCTGATATAAGGAACCGATTTTGATGAAACTTCAGAATATCATGAGCCATAATAAAGAACTTCTAAATTCAAGACTTGCTTAAGACATCTTTATAGACAAAATATGTATCAGCTTCAGAGTGAAATTTTTCACAGATCGTTTCAATAAAATAATACGCCTATATATGGTTGGTAAATAAAACTTGGTCTGCCTATGGATAGAACAAGTTCACAAACCAATGAGGGGTGTCCTAAGCTGTGATGATTCAAAAATTCTATGTGTTCAAACAGTGGGATATATGAACAGATGAATGTGTCTATATCCATTCGTCTCATGCATATAGTATATGTGAGATCACGAATGTAGTTATAACATGGGGTCTGTCTGCCTGGTAAATATGTTTGGCATCTAAACTTTGTGGTATGCCCTCTGGTAGCACCTCGGATACAGAGTAAACAATAGAGTATAATAACATTTCATGGCGGCAGCCTATAATAATTCATCATTTCATATGTACACACATACATATGTATGTATATGTTCGTGAGAAGCAAGCACTTTCTTGTCTATAAAGCCATCCATTTGTGTGTACATACAAGTACTTATGTACGAGTATTGGAAACCAATTTCCTGTGTCGAATAATCCCTTTTCCATTACACTATTTGTCACACGATTGTAAACGATCGATTAAAAGCTTTTCTCCTCACCACCTCAACGCTGAGTGCTTTCCATTACACTAACAACAACAACAACAACAACAGAAAGGTAAAGATTTAGAAGAAGAAGAAGCATCAGAATGAGAGCTACAGTTTCAAGTCCAACAACAAGTCTAGAACATTGATGGGCAGCTGTCAAAACTGACATTAATCAAAACACTCTAACTGAGCAGCGACGTCTTTGTGGTTAGTATTCCAACAGTTTGTTGTTGTTGTTGTTGGTGTTGTTGTTGTTGTTGTTTCGCTTGAGTTGCACGATCAAAACATGAACACACATTGCATGCGGCATGAGACTTTTAATATCAAAGTGCGTCAGGTTCCTTTGTTGTGGGTTTTGCGTTCCGCTTACACTTTTTTGGTGTGCGTGTGTGTTTGGAAAAACAATTTGGACAAACTAGTTTTTATACGAGTAGTATGTAGTATTTTGTTTTTTTTTTTTGTTTTTTTTTGTTTTGGTTTTCTGTGCCAAAGGGGGCGCGTGGAACAAGTGGAACGCCAAATGGGGTTAATAGCCTTTGACAGACAATTGGAGGGCCACGGGCGGTCGTGAGTTCTCACTTGTCCGGCCGCTCGATCCAACTCCAACTCTGGCCTAAAGAACTTTATTTTTTTGTGGCAGAGTGGCGGGGGGAGTTAGGGAAAAAATGATTTATGAGCTTGCATGAAGAAGTTTTGATCGATCAATCGGCGCTATATCGCAGTTGCATCGCTCGTAAAACTATGCCTAATTACAAAATAAAATCATTCCGTTTCCAGTCGCTGTTGTTTTTGGTTCTCATTCTCGCTGCCCTGCGATCTCCAGCGGTGCGCAAAGATGTGAATTTGTTTTCCTCTGCTGCTGCTTCTTCTTCCTCGCCTTTGCCTATTTGTATTCCTAGTGAGAAATTGAAAATTGTTCCCCATTCATTCATGAGGAATTTTCATTCTGAAACAGAATAAAATCTACGGCGATTGTCCGATTTTTATTTTGATTTTGGCGTACTTCTCACTCCAATCAGACAGCAGCCACTTGCGTGACTTAACAACAATGCTATACTCGTAGTATTCGAATTGGAAAATTCGTTCAATAATTTGTTTGTTAAGTTTTAATTGCCTTTTAATGGCGTTCTAATGCGTTTTAAATTTGCGTTTCTGTTCTGTTCCCAGATGCGGGCCGCAATTGCTGCTTCCCCAGGTGTTAAAGCACTTTATTATAAAGTTCGTAAAGTCCAAATATATACACCAGGAAAAATACTTGCTTATTGCTAACCATGTCGAAAAACAAAGTTCTCTTTTTTATTAGAAATCACAGCCCGTTTCTTGCAAATTGCAAATCTTGTAAATTATTTACTTCAACAAATTGGAGAACAAGAAAGCCACTTTCTAAGTGAGTCCTCTTCAATATGATATAATTTGTAAAGCATTGGTCACACTGATTTATGCTTGGGCTTCTCTTAAAAGAAGTCCTGTGACAATTCTTTATGGGTCCAGCAATTTGTGAGTTCAATTGTTTTCATAATTCGTTTTACTTTTATTTAATTTTTATATTTTATTATTATGAATCGACCTGAAAGCAAGAAAACAATGCTTACAATATTTATTGGCAATTTTTGTTTCAAAGCTTCCATTCCGGAAACTTCGAATTGAAAGCCGATCTTTCCACCGGACATTATAGAAGCCGACAGTCAGACTGTCCGCAGCCAAAGCATCGCTCAAGAGCTTCTAATTGGCCACAAAAGAGTATTAAACCTGTATGTGGAAAGAAAATCGATTTACGGGCACCATATGCATTATCAAAAAAAGGTATTTTTTAAAACGAATTGAAATCAATCCACTTTTGAATCGGATGTTGGCTGCTAATGAAAAAAGTGGCTCACATGCGACAATGTTGTACATAAACAGTGCTTCGGACTCTTTGAAATGCTCATCTACTTGTACTTATTTACAATGTGAAGGGAAAACTAGGTCCAAATTTTAGCCTTTTGCCTTTTCGTGTTTCAATTTTTCACAACCTCCAATAAGACGCCACATAAAAAATAAAAACCGATTGCTATTGGAATTTTGCAAAACCGCTCAGTCTGTTGCAAATATTAGCAACTTGGCTCTTACCGTTCGAGCCAGTTCAAACCTCAACGAAGCAGCTGAAAAAGTGCCCAAGCCAGAATCAATAGCCAGATTTTGCTGATTCTTATTAATGCTCATCTATTATCACGGTAACGAGAGAATTATGTACAAATGTTAGCCTCGTGTTACAATTTTTCACAGTCTCCAACAAGAAGGTAAAAAAAAAACGGCCAGAATCAATAGCCAAGAAAGTTCTGCATTTGGAGGGACTGGACTGGAAGAGGACCATTTCAGCTGTTAACAATTGTCCAATTGGAGATTAATAACGAAGTCCAGATTATAAATTTTGTCTTAAATAGGTGACAAAAAAATGCGTAGAGTCGACGTTTTCCAAAATTTCTCAATTTCTACATTTGAAGGATTTGCAAACATTTCTTTTTTTTAGAGTGTATCTTAAATTCCACACAAGTGTCGGTCACGCAAACTCGTGCCCATAATTAGGAGCGAGAGAAATATTTGGACAATCATAAAACGCACTCAAACATACACGCTGCGCCGCAGTTAGGTGAAAAGTTGGAAAAGCTGTGTGTTACAAAAAAAAAATTTGTTTAAAAAGAAGAAAGAAAGACGTAGAAATGTATGTAAATCATACATTTTAAAAGCCCGACAGCCCCCGACACACACAAACACATTTTTGACACCAACAATTTGTTCTGTCAATTTGTTATACTTGTAGAATGCATTTTATGTAAATGAAAGTTGTCCTCAATCGAAGCCACAGTCCACAGCCGTCCATCTAACCAAGCATCCAAGCATCCATCCATAAATGGCCCACGGGTCGGACACTCTCAACTTCATATTTTTTGGTGGCATGAGTTTCTGTTTTTGTTTTTGTTTCTGTTTCTGTTTTGTCTCCCCTGATTGATGCGCCGCATACAACGCACTATGAACAATAAACTAATCAAGATACAAATTGACATCGTAGGCAGAGATACGAGTATGGAAGATGATGCCAAGATCCCATCCAGACTGCGACTACGATATGTACGAGTAGATGTCGCAACCTCAGCCAATGTCAAAAGATTTGTTTGTCTTTTGTCTGACATTGTCAAGATCGTAGAATGAACGTTGGCCCATAAGCCAGCCAGTTAATGGCTAGTGGCTCCATCGATAGACATCCATTCGGAGATGCCATGGCATTAGCAAAGTGTGAAGTATTCATTTGTCTTAATTAAGAGGACCACCTCCATACGTAGATTGCCTTCTAAGTGCTATGTCTGGGCAGCATTAAGTCGTTCCAGCTGATCATTGGCCATTTCCATTCTATAGTTTGGCAACGTCTAAGGAACATCACTTCAATTAAAACACATATTTACAAGACTATATAATTATTAGTGTATGGAAAAATTAAGAACAAGGTGGAAAAGCCTATAGAAATATTGGTGTTCTGTGAACAATCTGGGCATCTGGTCTGTCCACAATTGCTCCAGGAGCAATCAGTTCCGTGTGCCATCGTCCTCAAAATTTCCAAACAGACTTGAATATTCCACTTTTTTCGGCTTCAATTACACACATTTTTCTATCAATTTAATCAAAATTTAAAATGTTCGTTCATAAATTCAAAGGCTAAACATAAATGATATACTTTAAGGGAATTATGATATACCTAATTCTGTTTTTACACGGTAGTTTCGTTCCTTATCTTTAAAACCTATTAAAATCAGTTAGCAAACAAGGATTTATGTTCATTTTATTTTATGTGTTTATTTATTTTGTGTTATTTTGAATCGTGCTAAATGGAATAAAAATTTTTAATTTTCAAACCGTGTTAAATCAAAACCGTGTAAAAAATACCGTGTAAAAACAGAATTATTTGTATTCTTATAGCACAATTCGTATTTAATTAATATTGTTACCTTACCGTTTCTGACAAAAACGATCAACTTCACGCAAAGCCATTCAAGTAAATAACATTGTTTTCAAATTTACTCAGGCCCTTTCTGAAAGGCAGCTTAACTGCTTAAATATGAAAACCTTTTTTCATTGTTGTAACGAAATCATTTAGCAATACGTTTGGCTAAATATTTGTATTACTTTTTGAGTATGAATATTGATTATGCTTAATTACTAAGAGCAAAGATTAATTTAACACAAAATATAAATATGTTATACTTTTTAAGCAGCTAATCGACCTTCTATATACCGAAATATTAAATACTAAAAACAATTTTTTTAACCAGCGAATCGAAATAATTATAAATAACAACACTTTATTTGTATTATTGGTGACTCAATTTCAACTCTATAGCTTATAGTTTTATAAAGTTAGAATTAATGTTTGACAAATTTTATATAATATACATTTTTTTGATACTACTGCTTATACTTATATGTTTTATACCCTATATGCATTTCAACTTATGCATTAATTTCTATTATCCATTATATTCTGGACAAGTAATTGTCAAATTTGAGCTTACATAAATTCTACACAAATTTTACAAATAATTAGATTTTTTTAATTTTAAACTATTTGTTTTGGCATGGCGGAGACTGTGTTAGAAATGATTTGAATTATTTATTTTTTTATTTATTTATATTTTATTTCAAACATTGGCTGTCGACATAGGAAAAGAATATACAGAAATTTTATTAAAAAAAACCTTATAAGCTATGAAAGCCTAAGTGGGAAAAATCGAATAAAATTACAATAATATCTAGTATGAATCCAATTATGCACATCGGTGCATATCGAATCTTGAATCTTATCCATGAATAAATGAGTCGTGGCTATCGAGCTTTTACTTGCCTTGACGATCGCCAACACGACTGCTGCGATCGCTAAAAGCTTTTAATTAAGAGAAGAAAAAAAACAATGAACTTTGTATGGAAAAAGCTTCCAGCACGCGCCGCATTGTTGGCGGTGGTTGTAGACGCCACCCGCCTCGCTCCCCCCATGACCGCTGGCTGGCTGACTGGTTATCGCAGCCACCGGTCGTCGGCCGCTCGACGCCCGACGACGAGCGAAAGCTTAACGCTTGGCGTGACAAAATTGACGCATCGTCATTGTTTGCTGGCCAATTACCGGTCGGTCGGCCGCTCACTCGCTCGCACCCCCTCGAACCAACCGCTCCTGACGAGTCCAGCAGACGGACTGTCATGATGAGCACGGGTCGGGTCTGGGGTGGTCTGCTCTGTTCTGCTCTGCTCTGTTCCGTTCTGTCATACTTGGCCTCCGACGCTTGAATTTCAATTTCTTTTTTTTTCGCTTCGTTTTCAATTTCGATTTCAGTGCGATTCTTGTGCTCAAAGCGTTCGGCGACGTCGAGACAGAGACCGACGACAGCGACGGCTGTCCAATTGATTATTGTTTTTTTTTTGTCTCTTTTTGTTGTTGTGTTTAAGAATTTGTTGCTGTTCCACACAGGCACACACAGATACAGATACAGATACAGATACATATACAAGTATATCTATAAGCATTTATACGCTTACTGTTGGAAGCAGCAGGCCGGTGTGAATAGATACAAACAAATTTTGAAATACAAAAAAAAAAAAGAAGTGAGCATTGCATCAAACACAAAACTAAAAGCACACAAAATTATTTGTGTACTAATTTTGTTCGTCGTGGTATTTCGTTGTTGTTATTATTATTATTATACCTTTAGACTTGTTCGCTTTTCGCTTCCGTTTTCATTTTCGTTCTCAATCCCGGTTTGTTTTGCTCCAGCAGCGTCCGTCGACACAAACACAAACGATGGCCAGCGCCCAACAGGTCATGGGGCACGAGATCTCGCCGGCTCGACGGGCCGCCTTTCAAGTGCTGGCCGGCGGCTCTGCCGGTTTCCTAGAGGTGTGCATCATGCAGCCGTTGGATGTGGTTAAGACACGCATGCAGATTCAGGCCCGGCCAACGGCCACTGGTGAGGTAAGTCGACCTTCGCTCTCTCTCTCTCTCTCTCCTTCCCTTTCCCTCTCTCAAATCATTAGCTTTTATGCCTGCTTCAAATCGATAGGCCATAGGAATCAAGCAAATGTATACAACGCGACCATAGAGATATGGCACCACTATTTATTGTGTACAATTGTCAAATGGAGCACAGTTTGCGTTTATTGTTTTTTATTATTAATATTATGCCCTATATTGCAAGGGTGAAAGGGTATATTAAAAAGCGGAAATGTATGTAACAGACAGTAGATGGCAGACCTCATGTTAAAGCTATGTACATATTCTCCACTGTCTGTCCGTTTGTACCTTCGTCCGCCTGTATGAACATCGATAACTTTTAAACCATACTAGCTGCATGCATAAAACTAGGTATATAGACTTGTTCTATCTGTATGTAACGAGAGTTTATTTTAAAACACACACAGCGAAATAATTATATATAGCTTGTTTATTTTTTTAACGATATTTGTACCTATTTTGTATTTGTGGGTTTGACTATGTGCTGAACTATATGCTGATATTATAAAGCTGTCATAGCAACGATTGTAGCTAAACTAACTCTTAGTACAAACAACTTTTGCATCTGAAGATAGCTTAACTAAATTTCGTAAATTCTAATTCTATTCTAAAGTTTCATTGAAATCGGTGCACTTTATGGGAACCATTGGTGCAGCAATTTTGTGACCCAACTAAGCACTTTCTCGTATGAGTTTTAAATAATGTTTGACTATATTCGGAAGCTTGATTAGAATAGGCGTACCTCATCAGTTAGCTGTCACAGAAACGATTAAAGGGTATACAAGAGTCGACCTCGCGCGACTCTAACACTCTACTTGTATTGAACCAAAGGGCACCTCAAGGTCAGTAAACACTCAGACGCACACGCACACACCCAACAACCAAGCACGGCCAAAATTTCTGCTCAACATACCAATACAGATACGCAGCAGGCAGTCTCTTCCCTTCCCTCCTAAGCCTTACCAACAACCACGTTGAGGCACAGTAGCTATACATATATACATAAGAGTACATGTGTAAGTATGTACGATATACAAACAAACACCCTGATATGTACGAGTGTGTATCGCCCTGTGTGGATATATTTAATGCGGCCCAGAGAAGTACAATGAGAGCAGACGGTAAACGCGTTATCGTGTCTGGCATTAGCCTCAGCTCGATTTCTTATCAGCGACCACACTTACCCTCATAAGCATAGAACGACCCGTTGTTGTTGTAGTTACTATTCGAAATTCGGATTTTATATTCTCTGCCCGTTTGTCGGATGATATTTTCGGCTGTAATTAGCGGCCTGACATAATATTTCCACCGAATAGTTGTTGCAGCTAACATCTTTATTGTTCTGCCCTCTTAGATTTCATTTTTCGTAGCAAAGAAAATATAGTTTCTGAGAATTGAGGTAAAATCCACTGAACTTTCCTGAGCTATGCTTCAAGTTAGATTCAAAAGTGCCAGACTTGTTTTTAATAACATCACTTGCAAAGCTTTTGTCTTAAATATCATATGTAAGTTATTATTGAGAATCAACATTTTTGTTGGCTCAAGATCTTTTTGCGCTAATCTCGATTAACATCCATCCATCTTGACAAATATCCTCCATCTATCTATCTAGACAATAATTGTGGTGAAAATATCCTCCATCTATCCATTTAGATATTCATTTTGATGCACTAATCCTGATTAATATCCATCCATACATTCGTTTTTGGCAGTGGGAATTGGAAAGTATTTGCTTCATAACAAAGTAAAATAGGAAGAATAGATTTAATTTCTTGCAAGTAATTGCATCCCCTTCTTTGCCTATAAACCATTCAAAGCATACTTAATTGCACCCATAAGGCCAAGTTAAGTTGTATCTAATCTATTGAATAAACGAGATGTATTTACTCTAGTCTTAAGTGTATTTCGCTACTGAACTCAGTACACATTCACACTCGATTTGGGCCAACTTTGTTTGGTCTAACTATAGCAAAAACAACTATATACACAGACAATATTTGCAATACTAACTATACTAAACCTAATTCTGTTTTTACACGCTAGATTGGTCCCAGAAAAAGTCGTGTAAAAAAGTCATAGATCATATGTTATTTTGAATCGTGCTAAATGGAATAAAGTGTAACCATATATAACATTTTTAATATTCAAACCGTGTTAAATCAGAATTTGGTGTATTCTACTATATAATAATAGATCGAAAATTGTGGAACAGCTTGAACATAAAAAAATATCGTGAGCTTCTCCAGAAAAACATAAATTCCCCTCGCTAACATAACTTGATCCATTAACGAATCTTTCTCATATGTTCTATCGCGTAGCTACAACTTCTAAATCTATCCTGCTATTCATTGTTCTTTTTTATGTGAGACCCAAACAGTTTCTTCACCATTACCAAGTTTTTTCAGTGTTTCTTGATTATTTTCCTAAACACCATTGATACCCTAATTTTTGAAGTACTACTGGCAAATCAGACAGTAACAAGGGCTTGTGTTTTTTTAAATCCGTACAAATTTCCTCTTGTTAATCAACAGAATTGGGGATGCTTTTTGATGTTTTTCAGATCAGCATTCTTTCGTAAATTCCCCCATTTATGGGTTAAATTTGCACACTTTTCGTGTATAAAAATGGAAGCTCTTAAGCTGAATAAGCTGGATTAGAATCTGTGAGTGAGTTAGCTGTTATCTACATCTAAATCTACACACGCTCACTAGGGATTTTCACAAACGGCTGATAAAGTTGCTTAACTGCTTAAAGGTGAAAACTTTTAAGTTTTTATTCAGCCACAGACCGCCAGATTTGGCACCAAAAAGCATTTGTACTCTTTGACAAACTACTATTATTAGGCAACACAATAACTGAGTATCACTCTTTTCCCATAAGTGCTTTTGCCCTAACCCTTCCCCTCTTTTGGGCTAAATTTGCTTATTTTTTCTATCAGCGTGTGTAGATATTTAAGATCTCTAGAACCAGAACCAGTGAGTCTTGTCTAGTGTGTTCCGATTACACGAAGGGTCTTCTCAAAGGACTGATTAAGTTAATTGGCTGCTTGAAGATGAAAACGGTTCAGTTATTATTCATCCACAAAATCTATAACTGATTTTTTATCACGTTTTAAATGTGTTTAATCTTAAAGTAGGTAAGCATTTCAGCAGATAAGAGCGCAAAAATTAGTTTGAATTCATTACGAAAATCTTAATTTTTGTTCTACTTTGGAAACTACAACACTGGAATCAGGTGGACATAATTCTCATCGGATCTGCTGTGATCTCTAGAGTGTTTTATTTAACTCCCAACAAATGTCCTTTGTTTAGTTTATCGATACAGCTACTTGGACCCAAAAGTGCTTTACTTTTTTACACTTTTCCAATTTTTTTTATCATTTTCTCTTTTGATTAATATACATACTATACTTATATGCGTAAGAAAAATGTGTGGGTTTTAAAAATAGATGCAACGAATAAATTAACACAGAAAACATGAATTTGGGGCAAAGCGGCGCAACGCAACAAAATATTATTAAACACAATGCACGCAATTTGCAATAAATTATTTTCCAGTTTTAGATTTTCACTCTTTTTATTTCATCAGAAATGTGAAAAAAATGAGAGAGATTCAAAAAAAAAAGAAAAAAAAATGAATGAATGCAGGCGGTTGTCGTAGCAGACTAGTTTTGCTTTCCCCCATTTACTACCGATTTAATGGTGATGTAATAAAGTTCGATTGCCTGCTTCTTTTTATTTACAGGTGCACTACAATGGGGTCTTTGATTGCTTCGCCAAGATGTATCGGCAGGAGGGCATCTCCTCTTTCTGGAAGGGAATTTTGCCACCCATATTGGCCGAGACCCCGAAACGCGCCATTAAGTTCCTGACCTTCGAGCAGACGAAACAGTTCTTCCAGTTCGGCTCACCACAGCCGACGCCGCTCACTTTCTCGCTGGCTGGTCTGACGGCCGGCACCATCGAGGCCATTGCCGTCAATCCGTTCGAGGTGGTGAAGGTGGCGCAGCAGGCGGACCGTCAGAAGAAGATGGTCGGCACCTATGCGGTCGCTCGAGAGATTGTGCAGCGCGATGGATTCGGACTGAGTGGCCTCAACAAGGGCCTGACCGCAACTATGGGACGCAATGGGGTCTTCAACATGGTCTACTTCGGTTTCTATCACAGTGTGAAGAATGTAGTGCCACCCTCCGAGGATCACACATTGGAGTTCTTGCGCAAGGTCTGCATTGGCTTTATAGCCGGAACACTGGCCTGCTTCGTCAACATACCCTTCGATGTGGCCAAGTCGCGCATCCAGGGCCCCCAGCCCGTGCAGGGCGTGATCAAATATCGTGGCACCCTCAGCTCTATGGCATTGGTGTACAACGAGGAAGGCTTCCGTGCCCTCTACAAGGGTCTGGTGCCAAAGATTATGCGTTTGGGTCCGGGCGGTGCCATTCTATTGCTGGTCTTCGAGTATGCCTACGAATATCTGTGCACCAACTTTCCCTAATGGATAGCCATATTGCCAAATTCTTTGTTATTTTCTTCTTCTTTTATCTAAGCCGGCGGATAAGATCACTCATCTCCTATACTTACTTTGATCGACTTACTACCTTAATACATACATATCTGTGTATGTATGTGTATGCCAATGCATTTTCTTAAGATTGTGTGACTTAAGGCTTTTGCTGTTGAAATTAAATAGATATATGTGTATGTTTAAGCATTAATCGTTTTATTCATTTCATTAACAAAAAAAAAGCAAACGACAAACACGAAAAACTTGCGCCGCTGAGTGGGGGAAGAGTGAACAAAAAAATTAAACAAACTCGTGTTGCCTGGATATTAGGAGAGTCTTAATACTAAGTTTGGTCAATATGGGCTCAGCCGTTTACGAAATCCAGGCGTTCATCCAGACAAACATTCATGCTGATTAAGAATATATATGTAAGTATACTTTATGGGGTTGGACATGCTTCTTTCTTCCTTGTCAACTCAGAAATAATTTCGAAAATATAAATTTAGCGCGTAGTCTTAAGTTTTTTTTTATACCCTGTACCCGTAGGGTAAAAAGGGTATATTAGTTTTTGTGCAAAGTATGTTACATGCAGTACGAATCATCTCCGACCCCATAAAGTATATATATTCTGAATCAGCATGACGAGAGAAATCGATCTAGACATGTCCGTCCGTCTGTCCGTCCGTCCGTCTGGATGAACGCAAGGATCTCAGAAACTATAAAAGCTAGAATAACCAAAGTTGGCATCCAGATTCTCCTAGGTCCGAGAAAGAACGAGTTTATTTTATTTTTTTTAATTTTCCCCCCCTTCCACGCTACAGAAGTTCGTCAATAGCGTCCACATTTAAAATGCTACCTAAACTAAACTTTGCGCACATAATTTATATATAATTATCTACTGTTGTTTAAATTTTTATTCAATTCGGTCAATTCTAAGAAAAGTTTTTAGCGAAACAAATTCTCGCCAGTACAACCTCCCCAAACTGCAACAACAAGTTCGCTCTTCTTCTTCCTCTTTTTGATGCTGCTTTGGGCGCATATAACTCAGTGACGGAAGTTTACCTGGGTACAGGGTATTACACTGTCGGGCTTGCTCGACTGTAGCGTTCTCTCTTGTTTTTTAGCAGCAATTTGTGCTGTTTTTCGAGTCTTACTTAGCTATACTCGATGTGGGGCGCAAGAAATTGTGGGCATAATAAATTGAAGAACTACGTCGATAGAGGTTCAGTGGCTAAGAAAGGAAATATAAGGCTGAAAATGTTGTCTCTAACACTAATGTCTCACATCCAAAAATGTACAAATTGTTACTCACAGTTGGACCAAACAAATTAACTGATCAACCATTAGAATAATCAATGCAATTATACTTTTAACGTCAACATCAAACCGTCGAATTCGACACCACACTTCTTAACTTGTTTGCAGACAACACATGTCTCTAATGACGAGAATGTGGCATTGCTTTCGGGCAATTCCATGAACCCACCAATAACCCACCAGCCAATCAGCCCACAGACCCAGAAACACGGCTACAACCAAACACGAAGCGAATGCCAACTACACCAATATATATAAGTATTGTATTCGAGTACTCGTGTATGAGTTTGCGATTTGTCAGTTAATTACTCGAAAAATGCATAAACATGAAATAAAATCACAAAAATAAATGCAAAAGCGAAGGCAAAGCTGAAAATTCATATTATTATGAGATCAAGCAATAGCGGCCAACACACCATGGGACTAAATCTGGCTTAAATGCAAAAGAAAATGAACCCAACAAGTGAAATTGTGTTTCGAGAGAGTATATTGCCTTTAATCTCAAGTATTTCCTTTAATAATAAAGATAATAATAAATATGTTATCCTTAGACCGAATCTACTTGACTGAAAGAAAATAAAGTGAAAAACAAATGAAAAATAAATATACGGCCCAGTAAGAACCGAAGACGGAAACTAAGGAATTCGACACAACTGCCTGGCCTGAAGAAGTGGATACTATCAATCTAGGAAAAATGAATATCTGTGACTGGAGGAGCGTGACTTTGGAGAAAGAAGGCGAGACGTTGTTATGGATGCACTCGTCCACCAAGAAGTGTAAAGCCAAAAATAAGTTCTTTACAAAAGATTTCAACGCAGCTGATAAATTTTTCTTTCCGCAGAGGACATACAAATTTTCATTTCTTGAGGTAGATATCAAAAATACAAGTATGTGTACAAGTATTGAGTTTTGAAAAGTAAAATATAAAAAGACTGTCTCTGTTTTTTCAACGCTTCATAGGAAATAGTTTTTCAAGATTAACTTCTATGAAAAAGAGCTCAAAAGAATCCAACACTGAAACTCTAAATAATTTCATTGCCCTTGGACAAACCATCTAAATGCTTTCCACTTCCAGTATTCAGAATATGAGTGCTCAGAAATGAAATCCATGCTGTGAGGCTTTGGAGGTTTTGTAATTGAGGAGATTTTCCCACTGTTCTTCCCACTGTGGACTGCACCGAGTATACCAAAGTTAATGCACAGTTTGTCTGCATTTTGATTTTGCGATCTATTGGGGGAAAAAAGTAGTGCAAAAGTAATTGTAGCCACGCGGAGAACCCGTTGATAACCACGACAACCACCACTAACCCGTTAAACTCGTTAGAGCATTGGCCACTTAATCCGCGCGATCAAGTCAAGGCGGTCCAGGCAGCGAGCACGCAGTTCTGATTGAAACGGCACTCTGAACGGTCCACCACAGCCACGATCTCCACCACCAAACCGAACAGGATGCTGAGTCTGCAAAGAGTTTGCCTTACACTGCTGCTCCTGGTATCCCTTTACCATCACCTGGTTGCAGGCCAGAAGTCGCAGTCAGAGCTGGATTTGGAGCGAGACCGAGAGCGGGAAAAGCGCGGCACAGTCACCATAGACTTCGGCTTGTTGTTGCGCAACCTCCTCCAAAAGAGCGCCCAACTGTCTAGTGCGAAGGTAGACATAACAAAAACTATTCTCGCCGCCAAGACAACGAGACGTCCAGCGAGAACAACCACAACGACAACCACTCCAGCCCCGCCACCACCGCCACCACTCCCACCCAGACGCCGACCACCCATTTATGGAGGCGGCTGGCGGCCATATGACTTCCACAAATCGGGCTACCTACCCTTCGTTTACGATGCAGACTACAGCGACCCACCACCTCCTGTTGCTGCGTCGACGCCTAGACGTGTGCGGCCATTTCCACGTCCATTGAGCACGTACTACGCTCAAAAGTTGGCACCCCCCACACCCCAGGACTATGACTATGACTATGATGGTGGGTCCGCTCCACCTCAGGCATCACCACCACCACCTCCGCCGCCGCCACGACGTCCACCAGCGCAGGCACAGCAACAAGCACGCCGCTCGCAGCCGCCAGCACAGCTTAGTGACCAGCTCGTCTATCAGTACGCACAGCCTAGTGGTAAAATACGTAATCTTTTGACTAATTGCCGTACAATTGGTTTCTCTCCAACACTTTGCAGATACCTCCTTTAAGCAAAATACAGATAGACAAGAGAGGGGAGGAGGGGAACGGGTGGCGGAGCGCAAATACGAAGAAGCTACTGATGCTAACACGACAGCAATCGAAGATAATTTCAGTCCGTCAGACAATGGAAATAATGTCGATGACAATGGTGAGGGGGGTGCCGGGACGGTGCCCGGAAGTTCATCACGGTTTTGGGTTAACTATCCAGACAATCCTGAAGAGGCGATACCAACTACACAGGAAAAGCTACCAGCCAGCAATTACTATTTTGGCATTCCTGGACCTTCAGCATATTTAAATTTCCTCGCAACTGCTCCAAATAAGGATAGCCAAACTTACGGGGCACAAGGACATTTGCACTACTTTCAACATGAAACCATCTGATTGTACCTTTCAATACTTTTCTGCATAAGACCAATTGACATTAAACACCGCATTTGTATTTCTATTGCTTACAGTCTTAATTGATTCTTATATATTGATATATTCCGGGACAAAAATAATTTAAAAATACATTCCAACAAACCTTCGATATTTAATTTGCAACCGCCATTGGACATCACTAAATTTATTGTATATAGGCAGCACTGCGCTCAACGTGCTCTAGTGTGTCCACATCTCGCTAAGTTTCAATGCATATAAAAAATATCGATAATGGAGATGCGCTTTTGAGTTCTCAAACAAGATAATTGCTCAATATACATATTATTCGGTTGGTTTTTGAGTAATTTTGTTTTAGGGACTTAACTTTTATGGCCATTGATCTTTGCATTCAACAATTCAAGAGATTTTCAGACAAATGAAAACCGAGACCATGATACTATTAAATTACACAATTTTCCTTGACTATCTGCTCAAGCTCTGACTTTATGCACTTAAAATACAAACCTTTAAAAACACGAACTCTTTAGGAATCGATGTAGAAGGACAATCTATAACAACCATCTCTAAGCACGAACAAAATGAGTTCATTGGGATTGGAGTTTGAGAAAAAATATCGATGTTTACTATCGATAAGACCACCAAGAGCAAGCACGAAACATAGCGGAGCAGCAGCAGCGTGAAAGAAAGAAAACGCATGAAAGAAAAAATGCATACATATACAAAAACAAAAGGCAGCCGTGCGCGTTGTTGAGTTAGCAACGATTATTCAATTGCAAATGTAAGCGGCGATAAGTTCAAGGAAAATTCGTAGTTTTTCGCAGTTTTATGCGTGTTAAGTTTTTTTGGACTGTGTGTGTGTGTCTCGCCTGCTGCTTCTTCACGTTTTCATTTCAATGCGCTCATATTTGTACGTACGCGAGTGCGGTTGTGTGTGTTGATTTTTACTGCGGCGCGCTACCCTAGTGTGTATGTATGTAAGTGTGCCGTGCAGTTTTTAGAATTAGAATTGATTGAAATTCATGTGCGAACTGCAAAGCGCATTTCAAATCAAATATCAAATTCAATTCGGAAACGACAATAGCAACAACAATTTTATTACATACAAAACTACACCTCCTCGAGCATGTGCGTATATGTGTGTGTGTGCGCCGCATAGCACTCGTGCTGCCTGATTGCGAGAAAGAGCACGCACGATACGACAAATACATTGTATGTACGCACACATGAGTGTGTGTGAGCTCAACTTCTTCGTGTGTTCCTGTGGGTGTGCATGGCTATAAGTGTGTGTGTGTGTAATATGCAAGCAAAACAATATATTCGAGATATATCCGAAATTCTATCAAAAATCAACTAATCCAAGCTTTAACCTCGGATTGACTTCATTCCAAGGTTATATAAAAGGAACTCTTCTGCATACAACGAACAAAAATCACAAAATTTGCCGCAGTCCCGACTCCAAGTCACTAATCAACCAGCGCAAAAACAACAACACAGTATATGTACGTACGACAGCGTGCAGTGACCGCGCTGGCAGCGCTGCTCAGACAACGCGTCGATGACGACGACCACCGTCGTGGGCTTTTGCTTTATGTTTTTTTTTGTGTTTTGTCCGCACCCAAAAAATACGACGGCAAATAAACTAAAATCAAATCAAATTAAGGAAAATTTACTGCAAAAATCAACAACAAAAAGGCGCAGCGCAGCATAAAATTAAATTAAAGAGCGCAAAACAAAAGGCAAAAACGGTACTAAATTCAATTGAATGTGTGTCGTCGTCGTCGTCGCTAAAAAGACACAAAAAAATCATACGAAATGCAAAACAACATCAAATAACTATAGGCGGTGTTGCGTTTGTGTGTGTCTGTGCAAGTGCGTGTGTGTGTGCGAACTGCGACATGGCTGTTAAGTGTGTGTATGTGTAAAAAAATAGGCGTGTTTCGCTTTTTAAAAATCGCCAACAGATAGTTTAATAATTAGCACAACAGCAATTGAAAGCTTAATTTACTAAAAAGGTCGGATTTCTTGCTGTTGCGTATCGGCCGGTAACGCAGTTACCCTTCCGGACTATTCCCCCGCGCGCTGCCGCTAGCTATGCATTCTGCAACAGAGTGACAAATGAATGCGCCTCTGTCGCTGCCGGCGTCGACGTCAACGTCATTATACGTGCAACCCTTTTTTATGCTGCTGCACTGCAGTAGCGACGACAGTGGCGGCAGCGGCGGTGGCAACTGTGGAAAGACACTGCATAATTCCTATTACCTTGTCCATTGTGAATTAAGCAGCAATGCTTAAGCGACCATGGTGAACGGGAATGGGCAGTCTCCAACCGCCCTGAACCCATCACCCGCCACCCACCTTATAAACAAACAAATAGAATATCAGAGCTCCGCAGATACTCCTGTGGTGGTGGTCTATGTATCTTGTTAGGCCTAATGAAACCCATTGAAAACATTTGTCATAGTATAGAACTACATACATACATATGTGGTTATCGTTATCGGTGCAAGGCAAGTTTCAATTCGTGCCCTATGTATAGAATATACATACATACATACATATGTATGTACGAATGTTTTTATATCCGCCGCTGCTCCAAAACAGCGAAGCATGAATCTTGAATTTTTCTTGGAATGTTTGCCAAAAAATAAAGAAAAACCAAGTTACAGCACGCGCCCCGCCATTACCATCACCATTAAAACAAAGTCGAATAATTCAAATGATTCGCTGATGATGCCGTTACTTTTTGTTGTCGGTGCGTGTGCCAGTCATTCGCTTGTATGTGTGTTTGTGTGTGTCTGCGCCCATTTAGCAGAGCTCGTCATTATCTTTGAAAAAGCGTTAACAAGCCAGAGCGAATACCGCAGCTGATCGTCTTCGCTAGGAAATTGCTGAAGTTGGCAACGACAAAGAACTAAAATACATACATACATACATACGTATAAGTATGTACATTTTTTTTTTTTGATAAGAGTAGGTCGGACACATACACTACGAGAACTACTGAATAATATTCGTGTGCGTTCAGTAGTTTTTTTTTGTGTGTGGGTGTGAGCCATGCTGGAACGATCCAGACGTGATTCATTTGGGCGATTCGATAATCAGTTGTGTTTTATTTCGGACTCCAACAATAACGACAACCAAAATGTCAGAGAAAACAACGACGACGTCTACTTCCCTTACAATTTAGTTCCCCACAATTCAAATTACAAATCCATAAACATTGACTTGAAAAACAACAGATCAGATATGTAAACTTCAATCAGATTATAAAATATGTATATCCCAACAAACAAATGTATCCATTTATATAGGTTGTATCTTCTTTCAAGAGCGAATACCTCTATGACCGCTAACTTAGTGTTAGTGTGGGTGTAGATAGATATAAAGAAAATGTACCAGTTTTATAGTGTTCGTGGAATAGTCATGTTTAATTTCATAATGTACATTCGGTGGGCACTTTTCTTTGCAAAAAAAAAAAACACATATATATATATGTATATCAGATACGATAAGCATTGTAGAAGCCCAGTGGAGTCACAGCTGGCATTATCATTCGTCATGCTCAGCTAACACTTTCGATTCCGTTCGGTACTTCACAGAGCAGCCGCCAAAGCCGTCGCTACAACTACCACCACAGGAAGGAAGCGGTGACCAGGCCGTGGAGAGGCCAAAGAATATAACTGAGAGAGCGCACCAGTATTGCAAGCTGCCTCAGGTCAGCTGCATAACATGAAACACAGCCATGCCTTCGGCACGTCCTGGTAGTCTTAAAGATCCGGAAATAGCCGATCTGTTCAACAAGCATGATCCAGAGAAGATCTTTGAGGACTTGCGCGAAATCGGCCATGGGTCATTCGGTGCCGTCTACTATGCGCGCTGCAATCTCAACAAAGAGATTGTGGCCATCAAAAAGATGTCGTATACGGGTAAACAGAGTCAGGAGAAGTGGCAAGACATACTCAAAGAGATACGGTGAGTTGAACAAAAGTTTCCGAATATCAATAAAACTAAAATCGATACAAGGAATTTCATATATCAATGAATTATTTATATGTAGCGTATATTTATGTATTTGCGGAAAACTTGTATCTTCACAACATAATTTCAGAGAAACTTGGGGGCCGGATATTGGCAACCAAGCCCGTATTATTCTGAAAAAATTATATAATCCTCTACATACCTTCAATAAACGAATTCCGGAATTTCCAGCTAGTTTGTTATTAGACTTGTTAGACATGCAAATTGTATATATTCATACTAAACACCTCTCTCTCCTCCGCCTGCTGTCCTACACACACAGTTTCCTACGTCAATTGAATCATCCGAATACCATTGAATACAAAGGCTGCTACCTGCGCGAATCGACAGCGTGGTTAGTGATGGAATACTGCGTCGGCTCGGCCTCTGACATCATTGAGGTTCACAAAAAGCCACTGCACGAGGATGAGATAGCGGCCATTTGCCTTGGCGTCCTCAGCGGTCTCAGCTATCTGCACACTCTCGGGCGTATTCATCGTGATATCAAGGCGGGCAACATTCTGTTAACAGATAATGGTGTCGTTAAGCTGGCGGACTTTGGCAGTGCGGCCATTAAGTGTCCGGCCAATAGCTTCGTAGGCACACCCTATTGGATGGCGCCCGAGGTAATTCTGGCCATGGATGAGGGCCAGTATGACGGCAAAGTGGATGTCTGGTCATTGGGCATAACGTGCATTGAGCTGGCCGAGCGCAAGCCGCCCTATTTCAACATGAATGCCATGTCGGCGCTCTATCATATAGCACAGAACGAGTCGCCGGCATTACCGGTAAGTAGAATTAATTAAACTAATTTCAGTAATTTGAACGACGAATTCTTTTTTGATGCGTTATTGTGTAGAAGAATGATTGGTCGGATGCATTTTGCAACTTCGTTGACTTGTGTCTCAAGAAAATGCCCGCGGAACGACCTTCATCGGCCCAGCTGCTCTTGCATATCTATGTAACACGTCCGCGTTCCGTTACTGTGCTCCTGGAGCTGATTGCGCGCACCAAGTCGGCAGTGCGGGAACTCGACAACCTAAATTATCGGAAAATGAAGAAGATACTCATGGTGGACACATGCGAGACGGAGAGTGCTGTGGGCGATATGGACGATCAGCAGGACGACCACGCAGGCGGCGACAGCAGCAAAAGTAATAGTATTACTTCAGAACACTCCATACACTCGATGGGTGTATCGGCGGCCAGTAGTCAGGTGAATATAAATTAGGGGTTGCATGCCTGATCCAAGCACTGGTCCGAACTAGCACGAATTCTTCACTTTGTGAAATTTGCAGAGCTCCTCATCGAATTCCATACCGGCTGCGGCACAGAATCACCACCATATTGGAGCGCATCATCATCAGCAGATGGCCGCGGCCATGCACCACCACCAGCAGCAGCAGCAACAGCAGCAGTTGGGCTGGTCGAACAATGCTAATTCACACCAGCAGGCAGGGGGAGCTGGCGTTGTATCGCGCAACTCCTCGCGTCAACGTAACCTGCCACCGCTGCCGAACATCATGCACAGCATGAATAACAATGTAACGCCTACAAACTCGGCGTCTGTTGTGCCAGCACCGGCGCCTCCGTTGCCGGTACTGCCGCTGCCCGCATCCATGTCACACGGACTGAGCACAGGCACCACTGGCAGCAACAGTGGCGGCTCTCCAGCAACATCATCGGCGGCAGGCGCCTGTGGTGATCGCATGCCGACTATTCAGCCGCGTTATCTGTCAACGGCTGCAGCCCAGGCAGCTATCTATGCTGCCACATCGGCCTCGTCGCAACAGACCATCTCCAATGCGGTGAACGATCATGGATCCAATTTTGCCACCATACGCACCACCAGCATTGTCACCAAACAGCAAAAGGAGCACATGCAGGTGCGTGTTTACAATTATCACCATTAAGCCTGTCAGCAGTCAGTCACTAACAACCAGTTACCACTTATCACTAACCACTCAGCAGCATGCGCACCTGTCCATTGCTTCCAAATCATTGCGCATCAGGGATTTGCTCAGAAATGTAGGCGCTAAAAAGAACGTTAATCCCTTCATATGTAGTTGGCGCTGTCGTCATGACATTCTGCTTCCTCCTCATGGCTTTTTCTTGTGTTGCCTTCGACATTGGTTCCTAGTCAGTTGTCCCCGTTTTTAACTCTGCTCTCTACTACATTCACGATCTTTGTTGTTATTTATTATTGTTTTTACTCCCGCAACACGAATAGGCGCGCTATAACTTCTTCTGTCCGCAACTGTGTCGCTGTTGTGGCAACGTGCCTGATCCAGAGGCTGCTGCTGCTCCTCCTCCACCTGACGATGGCCAGCAACATGATGACAGCCGGGGCAAGGGTCGTGGTGCAAATACAAAAAATTGCCCTTGTGTAATATCGTAAATGCAAACTGCAAACGAGTGTGTATGTGTGTGTTTGTATGTACATATGCGTGGATGTGTGAGAGAACGCTTTTAAGAATATTAACAAATAAATGCGAAAAAAAAGCAAAATGCGGCAAGGTGCGCTCAAATTTGTTTAGTTTTTTCACTTTAGTTTGTTACCCTTTTGACATTCTCCATATAAAAGCTCTCACATCTTCGTCTCCCCATCATGTCCAACGTCGAAGTGGATGGATAACTCTAATTTTATACTATTTGTCCTTTTCGTTTTGCATTTTTCTTTTCTACTTTCTCCGTCATTACTTACAAAAAAGCTGCAAACTATACACAATATGCTTTTTTCTTCTCTACAATAGTTATGAGAATACGCCAATTGCGTTTGCCAAAATGTAAGCTGTTTCTATCAATTTACCGTTATCTTGCTGCATTGTTCCCCAACCTAACAAAAATAGAAAAAATAATAAATAAATGTATATGGAAACACTTGACCCAGCCACCCCCACACGCACAATTCACAGTGGCCATTCTTTAATAAGTTAGTTCGATAGATTATAGTGGAGCTTAAATCGATAGTCGAGCTTGGCTTTAGCATTTGACGCTGCGATCTCGCGCAAAAACCAAAGAAAACCATTTATTTAATGTAGTGAATTTTTGTGAGGTGGTGCAATTAGTTATTGTTCAAACGTGTATTGAGTTTTATGTTTTATTGTTAATTGGCAACTAAATCCTAATCCTGCCCCTTTTTGCACCTGATTGCTTGATTGGTTGCTCCCGTTGTAAGTGCATTTTGAGGTTAAATGCAAAATGCGCACGCAATTGTACCTACAACTTGAATTGGCGTTTAGAAACAGTTTTGTAAGTTCCCGCTGAACACTGTGCAACCCAAAACTATAGGCATTTGAAAGCTACATATGCATATATTGTTTATTTATTTATTGTGTTTATAAATTAACGCACTCCTTTAAATATTCACAGGAGGAGATGCACGAACAAATGTCTGGCTACAAGCGCATGCGACGTGAGCATCAGGCCACGCTCCTCAAACTGGAGGAGAAATGCAAGGTCGAAATGGAGACGCACAAGGGAGCACTGGACAAGGAATATGAAACCTTGTTGCATAGTTTTACCAGAGATCTGGAGCGTCTAGAGGTAAGTTGGATAATACTATTTCAATTATGTCACTCATTTTTTACATTTGTAGACTAAGCATCAGCAGGACGTGGAGCGACGCGCCAAGCAGACGGCCGCAGCTGAAAAGAAACTACACAAAGAGATTACTGCGAAGCAAGAGGGCGATCGCAAGGCGTTTGATTTGAACCGCAAAAAAGAATACAAAGCGAACAAAGAGCGCTGGAAACGCGAGCTCTCGATGGATGAGTCAACGCCAAAGCGTCAGCGTGATTTAACCTTGCAGACGCAAAAGGATACTATGAAGCAGTACGAGGCGCAGGAAGAACAACGCTTGCTGCAGGCACAGAAGCAATATATTGAGCTCGAAATGCGTAAATTCAAACGAAGACGCATGATAATGCAGCACGAGCTAGAAGATCAGCTTCTGCGTGACGTAAGTACAGCTCCAAAAAAATTACGAAATGAAATGTAGGTTCCTGATTTCAATTTTCAATTTTGTGAACTCAAAGTCTCTGTCTAAATACTTAGTTCCTTGTGAACTCCGATTACTCCTTATCACTTGTGAAACTTAACTAAACACTTAATTTTTGGTATGTAGGAGCTCAGCAAGAAACAGCAGCAGTTGGAGCAAGCGCATGCCATGCTACTAAAGCATCATGAAAAGACACAAGAGTTGGAGTATCGCCAACAGAGAAGCGTGCATATGTTACGCGAGGAGCAGGTATGTTTAAGATCACTTCACATATATCGTACATATCACACAAGCAAGTGCATTCAACATTTAACAGATAACCAAGCAACACGACACGGAGTTGCACAATCAACAAGACTACATGGATCGCATTAAGAAAGAGTTGGTGCGCAAACATGCGCTCGAACTAAGACAACAGCCCAAGAGCCTTAAGGTAAACTAGCTCCATAAGATTTGCCATAATAGCTCGCATAACACTCGATCATCCACTTCATCCACAGCAAAAAGAATTACAAATACGTAAACAGTTTCGGGAGACTTGTAAAACACAGACAAAACAATATAAACGCTACAAGGCCCAAGTACTGCAAACGACACCCAAAGAGCAACAGAAAGAGGTTATCAAGCAACTGAAGGAGGAGAAACATCGCAAAATGACGCTGTTGGGCGAACAGGTATGATTCTAGAGCCTACCAAATGCTTTTACAATTTCCGTTACTTTCCATATAATGAATGCAAAGTAGATTGTAACTGATTTGCAAAGTTGGGTAGCAATGCGGGGTGGACATTGTCAAATCATGGCACTCGATTAAAGAGCAATCGTATTTATTGATTCCTTATTAAAAACCATCTAGTGTCTAACTGGTTATATTTTATTCAGCTCTCTGTCTTCAGAAACGGTACAGCTGAGAAAAAGTATGCACTCGAAATGTATGCACAATGGCTCGCAACATTGGCTGGCATTGGTCCTGCATCACTAGAAAAAGGTTTTCGAGGGTTAATTGATTGCTGAGAGCTAACTGCGCGGGCAATTCCCCTAACCTTCAGAAACTGCTCATTGCATGTAATTGCCGAGAAAATTAATTTACTTTAAACATAAATCAAGAAACTGCTTCCATCGCATGCAAAGTAGTGCAGCTATCTCAGATTATGCAGCTCGACGCTGGTCGGGTGCGAACGAAAGTCAAATTAAAGTCACTGCACCACACATTCCGAGCACAACTTTGCCGAGCTCTGAGTGTAGTTGAACCGAACAGCCGATGTAACGGGTATTGTTTGAATTTCGCAGGGCGATAATTGTTAAATATAACTATTTAAAAAAAAATATATATATAAATGCGACAAAGTCAAGTGTTTGTGATAATAATAATGTTGTGGATTGGTATGCAATCGGATGGAATGTATGGAGATCACACTTTCACCCTCATCTTTTATATTATAAATAAAAAGTCAACTCCCGATTGCAATTCTGGGATGACGACGCTAAAGTAATGGTAAAAATTAAAATATTTTTCAACTGATTACCTTCGCAAATGGAGTGATATTATAATTACTGATTCGAAGCTAAATAGTTCTTAGAACCCAACCCCTGTCTCCCATTTATAAGTAATTATCCATTTCTATCTTCTGCCGCTCTGCCTATCCATCTGTCTTAACTCAACTGCTTCTGAACTATTTGCAGTACGAACAAAGCATTGCGGATATGTTCCAAAGTCAAAGCTATAAACTGGACGAGAGTCAAGTGATTGAGTGCCAACGTACCAATGAGCAATTGGAATACGAACTGGAAATGCTCACTGCCTATCAGAACAAGAACAAGAAGCAAGCGCAAGAGCAACGCGATCGGGAGCGACGCGAGCTCGAGAATCGTGTGAGCGTGCGTCGTGGTTTGTTGGAAAATAAGGTAACCATTACATTATCTTCCATTATTATCAAGTATTAATATATTGATTGATTTTATTTTTCAACTCCAGATGGCCGGCGAATTGCAGCAATTTAATCAGGAGCGTGCCGAACGTTTGCGCATGAAACATGAGAAGCATGCTAAAGAATTGGAAGCTTTTGATAATGATTCACTAGCTTTAGGTTTCAGGTACATACTCGTATACTAAATAACTCGTACAATATATAAGCGATATAATACTTATACAATAAACTGATTATTTCGTAACCAATTCCAGCAATTTATCGCTAACCGAAGTATCACGTGAGACCTACCCGGACGAGGAGGGTAGTCTGTCGGGTTCAATGATTAGTTTAGCACATAGCCATAGTTCAACAAGTTTTCCGGCTGGTTCGCTATAGCATAGACATAAATCACAGCAACAACAGCAACTCCAACAACAACAACAGATGAAGAAGCAGCAGCAGAAACACCAACTACAACAAACACAACAACCATATAGCAATTTAAACTATTGTAATTTTAATGGAAATTTTAAACCAACCGTAACAACAAAAACTACAAATTCAACTAACAAAGCCAGACACAGGCCACAAACCTAACAACAACAATAGCCATATGAGGAAGCCTGTCTACACATACAAAACACACACATGATATCCGGTTAGAGTTGTTTTTGTAGCCCAAGTTGAAAAAAACAAAACAAAAAAAAAACGAAAAGAGAAAAAGATAACCTTTAAAAATTCCGAAAACAAAAAAGTAAACAAATTGACAACAATGACATAAATAAGCAAGCAAGCAAGTATTTTCTAATGATAACAACAGCAAGTTGCAATAGTTTTGTATTAAAGGATCAAATCAAATAACAAAGTAACACTAAATTTAAAAAACCAACACACACACATATATAAATATATATAAATATAAATACTTAAAAATTAAGGCTAATTGTCATACAAAACAAACTTTCAATAACAAACAAAACAGAAAAAATAATTTAAAAGAGAAGAAATTGCAAGCAATTTGCAATAACAAATAACACACCAAACACACAAACACCCACATATACAACAAACAAGAAAGAAAAGAAAAACAAGGATAAAATATTTAAGTTTTATTGATATTATTATAATCATAATTTAATATGAATTTTTTTTGTTACAAAATTTCTGTGTGCTTTTGCAAACTGTATATCTATATCTATTTATATTTGTTAACGCGCCAGCAAAAACATATACACCATATATATACAAATTCAAAATCGTATCAGATCAATTAATGCGCTCAGCATTTTCGATTGTCAGCGCTATTATCGATAGCACTTTATTGTTTCGGCGCCTTCGTATAACACTTGCCGTGTTCTATTTGTTAAATCGAAGCCATTGAAGAGACCGGCTGGTTGCTAACAACAATAGAAATACATTTATATTCAGGCACATCGATCTTTAAATGAATGTGTTTGGGCTGTTAATGGCCACTTCCAAAATTATTTCAATGTATATAAGGCAAAGTATTGCGTTCACACTCAAAAGACTGTCAGACCGACTGACTTCTATTCTATTATTTCTTTTCATTTCGAACGAATGCATATTTATGTGTTGTATTATAGTTTTTGCTCGCACGCGTACACAAACAATCATTGTTTTTCCCCCTCTAATTTGTTAAATATGTCGTTTCCATATTTTGACTCGCTAAAATATAAAATGTGTATTTTTTACATTAAATATAATACATTGATTTGTTTTGTGGTTGCTGCAGTATAATTAATGCAGCAAAATCCAATTTTATGGCCAAATCTATTATAAAAAAAAACAAGCACAGAATGCAATTTGGTTACACACCTTATACATAATTTTGTTTCGTTTGTTATAAAAATATTAATAAATAATGAAAAGGAGAAAATATAGGTTTATATATATTATATATATAAATGGAAATACATAATCTAAAATAAGCCCTATTTTAGACTTAATTAATGCAAAATGCGTAGTCAAAACAATAAAAATTGTATAGAAAATTAATTGTTTAATTAATTAAAATTATGTGAGATTGAGATTGCGTTTTCTCCATAAGTTCTTATGTTCAATTTTGTTGTCGTCATCACTTTTAGTTTCCAAACGAGAACAAAAAATCACAAAGAAACACACACCCACATGCATACATAATACATACACTCATACATTTGTAAGAGTGTTTGCTGAAATGAAAGCTAACCGGCGCCGCACTGTTAACAATTAAAACTAAATAATAAAAGTAATTAAAATAACAACAACAAATTTATATAAACATTTATTATATATGTGCGAAAGTGCAAACATAAAAGTAAAACTACAACAATTAAAATTTAACTATTTACAATAACATGAAGGCGACGATAAAGTGCGAGATGCGACAGCAAACAAAAATTATAGCAATTAAATTTATAGTGAACGAAAGATGTTGATAACAAAGTAAACACAACACCACATACATAATTTCCGTTAGTACATAATTAATTAAATAACTGTATAATTAATGGCAGCAGCGAAATCCAATAACGAGCAATTCTCGCTCCATCCTCGATCCTGGGGGGGCCTCCCAGAACGATGGAAATGTGTATTATTCTAGTGCTAAGTTGCTCCATTGCATGTATATGTATGTATGTATGTAGTAATCAAATGAATTTCCAAGCGAGCGAGTGAGAGCGCCTCCGTCGTGCGAGTGGGAGAACTATACTTCGCCATCATCGCTTGCGGGTAAACAAACACAAAGAATGAAAAATGCAACAACACATAATATGTAATATTTTTATGTTTAAAAAATTGTTTTTTTTTTAATTCCGCTTGAATTAATAATATTTTGTTTTAACTATTAATAAATTGTATTTTTGCAATTATGATCAAATGGAGAACGAATAACAATTAAATTGATACACGTCAATAAAAAGGTAAATAAAAAATACAAAAATTATTACATCCACCAAGCTTTTTCACTGACCAATCTGACTTTATATCAAATTATTGGAATGATTAAATATAACGTCAGTTAAAAGGGCGTTTAAATACAACTTGTTTTGTTATATTGTATGTCAACCGTCATACGAGTCATCAGTATTTTTCGAATTCTGGAAACATTTGAGTGCATCAAAGATTATGGTTAGGAGAAGCTGTTGGCTAGCACTTAATATGCGGGTATTTTGCTTTAGAATTCGTCAACTGAAAACAATATACATTTTTAGAAGAGATTAAATTTTGAGACAACATTTTTGTATTAAGAAGTCCAAAAATGTGACAGGATAATGCATTTTCGCAGAAATATTCGAAATTCCAGACATTGTTTCTCGTAGATAAAGAAGAAATGGAAATAAATAATCATTTTGTTTAGTGGAAGAGACTAATGTCATAAGTATCGGGTTTTATCTTTATAGGTTTAATTGGAGAGTTTTATTATAATCCTGATTAGGGCGTCGTATCATCATGGGATAGAAATGTTATACCAGCAGTAGAAGCCAGAAAACAAAACAATATGAACGGAACTTTTTTTTATTGAGTAATAAGCTTAAACATAAAAATCTTTGTTCTTTTACAGGTATTCGTACATATATACATATTGTATTGTATACATATGTATTCGTGGAATGTGCTAACATATTCCAAACACAAGTCATGCTTTCAATGAATCGGCCTTTTCTCATGACTTTTCAAATAACTAGAGAAAAAATTGGTTTCAAAGACATTTTCTGGGGCAGGGTTAGGAGGGGCTTCTACATATACATACATAAAGCTCTTGAGAGCCCCAATCGAAAATCTCTGGCCTACCGCAGCGACTTAAGGAAATTCTTCGTACGTACATTAATCTGCACACACATATGTACGCATATGTGCTATATATGTACATCAGAATATACTGCGATTAGAGATACAATTTGGTTAGACTTGTTACAAGGTTTGTTTTGGTCACAAGACACGTTTTATCTACAAATAAATAATATATCCAAAGCTTTTGCACTTACACACTATACACGTATAAATAGGTAAATAGCATAATACAAATAGTTATGTACATACATACATATGTATAGGCATGTATATGATGTAAAGGATAGAAAAATAGGTTTATACAAGTATACACTCTGAATCTGATTTTGAATTTGTATCTGATTATAGTATATGGCGCCAATCAGGCTAATGCTTCTGAATCAATCCGGATGCACTGGTGCGATTCTTTGGAACTAATTGTCATGGTCTTAGGGTTCCAGATGCATTGCGTCCGCGCGATAAGCCACAGCCACTGGACAACCGATGAGCCTCCAGCCGGCTCAGTCGTTGTCTTCACGAGCCCATCACGCTGTCGAGGAATGTGTGCTTGTTGATGATATTGGTGGTAGCGACCACAAACTCAACATGGTTGTCCTCCTGGGCGGCGAGGAAGCGTAGCGCAGCAATTTCAGCAAAGGTGCAGCCGCCCACAAAGCAGACGAGCACCACACGCGGCACATGCAACAGCGAACCCTCGCTGGGCGTGGTGCCCACATGCCGCCCTCCTATACCAATCAGTTGGGCCTGAAAATCTTCGAAGGTCGGGCCGGGCAGATTGGTAATTTGACTCTTCAGTGACTGCCAGCCCAAGGGCTTGAGAGATAGCTCTACTAGGCGCGTAGTTAGCGGCGCATAGAAGCTGTGCACATAGCTGATATCCTTTGGCTCCACCTCGACACTGTCCTCAACAGTCAGCCGTAGTGTCTATCATTCAAAAATAAAAAAAAAAGCAGAGAGCATTAAGGGGGGAATTTTTACTTCCAAAGCATCACATACTTTGCGCAGCACGGCGTAGGACCGAGACTCGGTCTGTGGGTAGAGGAGTCCCGCCTTTTCCAAATTACTGACCGTCAGCAGAACCTCTAGACCATAGACCTGAGCAAGGTCGCGCTTATAGCTGTTGAGCACTTTCTCTTTGAGGCCTGAAGCGGCGGCACACTGCAGACAAATCAGTCGTAAAACATTTCGTAGTTCATTTTTGCGCGCTATCTGATCCTCAATGTATACGCTGGTCTTGTCGATGTCCGCACAGACCATAAACTCTTGTTCGGCAGCTACATCCTCGGCAAACGTGTATTCATTCACTTGGGTCTGTATGAGTGTCGCAATTTCTGTGTGTTGGGACATGGCGCGTTTCTCCTCCTCCAGAATCTTCAGTTTATCCACAAATATGTGTAGCTGTCGGACTGAGTGCTCACGCGAATATTTGTTCATTTCGATGTTCAGCTCCTTGACCTTACGTTCAAGTAGGCGGATCACCTCGTTGAAGTGTTTGTTGCGCAGCTCCGAATATCCTTCCTCGCCGGAGTGCAGTGAAATGATTTTGGTGTTCGGAAAGCCAAGCAGCTTTGCAAAGGAATCACCAGCAATACCAATGTTGCTCGCAGGGAAATGATGAGCCGGCATCATCAATTTGTTCTGTTGAATACCAAAGAGCTCGTCGATTAGACCCTCATAGGTGAGCTGAGTAGCCAGTGGCGTGAGCAAATCAATGCCACGGTCCAACAGTATGAGCTGATCAATGGCACCCTTGTCGCCATTGTAAAGGGATTTCTCATTGATGGCGAGTTGCTTAGCATGATCCCAGACGCGTTGCGCCTGCACTCCCTTTCCATAAATCTTGGGTATGCGGCCGTAGAGGCGTTGCAGCTGCACCAGCCCCATGGCCGCCTGGTAAAGCGAAGTTGTATCGCCATCGATCGTCACGTCGCGATACGCATGCGGCAGTTCCATGCTGACAACATCCGCGTCAAGTGGAAGAAAGTTCCAGGAAAGCTCCTCGACGCTTCCGAAACTGGACAGGTAACCCTTGTTTTCCAGCTGTTTCTCACAAAGGCATGAGCGACGTGGCACAAAGAATATATGAAATTGGCGACCCTGCTGACCCAACTTCATGACATGATTTCCCACTTGATCCATTAATGACACCTGTGGCCGTACTATATAAATGATATTGGTCACATCTTTAGGCACATCGAGTTCTCCTGACAGAACAATCAATTTGATGTTGCGTTCCGTAAAGACCTTCACTTCGGTGACTAGACCAAGAGGCAACACCAAGGCCTTGTCTAGCACAACGACCTTGGAGCCCTCGATGCGCTCAAGGTGTTGCACCAACTCATTGTGGGCGGCCTCCTGCAGCAGCTGCAAATTCACACGCTGACTTTTCAGGTGGGAAAACATGACGGAGCTTCGAATGGTTGGCCTGATTTGCTTGTGAGCGACTCTGCCAGTCGTCGAAATGATTTCGAAACTGCTGTTCCGGAGCTATGCAATGCCCACGGCCACGAAAATTGTGTTTGCAAAAAATTCTACTAAATGCGGGTGTTAAACAAAACAGCTGTTCTGGGCCTGCGCACAAAAGAGTGTGTACCCTTAGCGGACATGGACATTTCATTCATACTGAAAAAATGCGATTTCGACACTCATTGTTGGAGAACACAAAGGGGCGGGCGCCATTATTTAACGTGCAAAAGCTCTTTTACAATGTACTCATACGTATGTATGTACGTGTCATTCAATTGCAATAGGTGTTTGATTTAATTTTAAAGTGTACACACTGAAAGGTTGAATCAAAAACGCCGCGCATCTTCATTTATAGCTTTCACCAATTTGTATATTTTAGTTCATTTTTGCCACTTTACAATTAAGCAGTTTCCTTTATTGTGCGTTTAGTTACATACAAATATGTATATACTTGCATTACTTTTATTCCTGTTGCAAAGAATATTGCACTTAAATTAACCGCGCAATAAATATCGATAACAGTTGACAACACTTATCCCCCATATAAAAACAAACGAAAGAAAGAAAGAGAGAGAGAGAGCAGCAGCAAAAAACAGTCAACTGGGTCGCTAAAGCGCGTAAGGAAATCGAATTGTTGTTGGTGTTTGAATTGCATTACAGTTAAATAAACCGTTTATTTAACAATTACACCAACAAATATACATCCAAAACATGAGCGACACCGATCCAGTACGTCTTGTACTGGCTAATCTAATTGCCGAGTCAGGGTAAGTAGAGTGACTCGCAAAAAGTGCACAGGTGACGTTTTTTTGCGGCCCAAAAAAAGGCGATGCAATCCGTTTAATCGAAATTTATTATTTTTGACTTTACTTAGCTCGTATAAGACGCCTGAATCTATTTTGCGAGAGTTTCGAGCCACCCGAGGTAGTCGCAAATCAGACAACGAGCTGGTGTCACTATTGAGATCTATTAGCCGCAAGCGTCCAAACTGCCAGGAGGTGCTGGACGAAATAAAACAGACCCTCGAGCGGTAAGTTAATGCGCCAAGCTTACATGCGTGTTTCACTTATGTATGTACATACATATGTATGTTTTATAATATTTTCGCTGGCCAGCATGGACCCTATGTTCGCACTGCTCCTATTTACCGAACGTCACAGTGACGAGGACTCGGTGTTACGTCAGTATCCCAGCAGCTCACGAGTAGGGACCCACAGGCAACATTCCGTGGATCGCCATAGCTCGACACGTACGTCCGCAGACATACCACTACCACATAGCCGCAGCAACAATAGTTTGACGAGCCAGCTACAGGATCGCCCGATCATGCTCAGTACAAACAAGTCCCAAGACTTCCCCACCTCTACACCGCTGAGTCAGCGCAAGCCGGATAATTACCTAACTAGCCCTACAATGTCAGCCATCTCAACTGCCATCGATCAGGCGGCTGTGCAAGGGGAATTGCGTGTGGTAAGGAAGTTCAATAAACATTAATACACCATTACTTAACCGATGTGGCTTCTCGCAGATTAAGGAGCGCGTGCTCAGTGCCGTGAGCAGCAGCTCGCTGACCAGCCAACGCTCGCTAAGCAATGCCAATGTGGAAGCCAGCCCAAAGGAGACAACACTCAAGCCTATAATAGTCATTAATTCCAAATCCATGGGCAGTGTATTCACTTGTTTTCCTGATGAATGCCGAACTCACGGTCTGTGGGACTTCTACAAAGTGGAGGGAGGCAAGCCGGCGCCGGATCTAATCGGCATTCCCATCGAGACTCAGCAGCGTGAACTTATTACCGAACTCATTTACTGCCTGATGGGCGTGCGCGGAGACTTCATTGTCCCATTGGAGTCCGATCCCAAGGCCGATGGCATTGGCAAATATGAAACGCATTTCTCAGTCGATAAAAATGTGGACAAATCGCTGGCTGAGCTGGCGCTGGAAATTCTGCCACTCGCTTCCCACTACATTGGCATACAGAGGATTGTAAGTGCCACCCAAGAACATGGTCAAGTATGTAGTGCATTGAACTCGGCACTCGAGGAATTGACGCGCGACTATTATGTAAGTAGCTAGAGCATCCAATAAATTTGTGACCTTTTGAACAAAAGTTCCCTTATCCCTTAGGTGCTGCTTGCTCAAATCGAACAGGAACATTTGAAGGACCATCTAACCATGCAGAAAATGCTGTACTATTTGCGCCCTACCATTTTAGTCATGGAGGAAATATGGGCCAGTCTAACGGAAATGCATATAGAAAACTATACGGGTGCTGCTGTCCTGACCCATTTGTGTGCATGCATCAAACGGCTAGAGGGCGACAAACCTTCCCAGGAGGCACTCATCAGTTTGACCAAAAAAGCATCTGTACCCTACATGCGTGTGCTTCAGCGTTGGATACAGAAGGGCATTATTGTAGATCGACATCAGGAGTTCCTAGTCGAAGACAATGAGGGCATTCGATGCGATGAGTTGCCCGAGCTGGCGGATTACTGGGAAAAACGGTCAGTTGGCCTTCACCTAAACTAATCCTCTCAGTAATTAACATTGAAAATCGTTATAGTTAACATTTAATTGAACTTGGAGTCGTTTATCATAACTAAGGTGTTTATCATTTATCATCAAATAGGTACTCTGTGCGACGAGATCGCATTCCATCGTTCTTAGAGAAATACTCGGATAAAATTTTGCGTACCGGCAAATATTTGAACGTAATTCGACAGTGTGGCAAGCGTGTGATGCCAACACAGGAGATGAATTTGCAGTTTGATCCGACCAACGAACAGCACGTTTTCGTTATTAATGACGCCTATTACTTTGCCGCCCGCATGTTGCTGGATGTGCTGCTCACCGAGAACGATCTGATGGGACATCTGCAGTCGGTAAAGCGATACTTGCTGCTCAATCAGGGCGATTTTATCATGCAGTTCATGGATGCCTGCGAAGATGAATTGGCCAAGAATGTTGATCTGGTGTTGCCCATGACTTTGGAAAATTTGCTAGGACTAACATTGCGTTTGTCGTCTGCACGCAACGATCCCTACAAGGATGATCTGCACTGCGAGCTCTTGACATACGATTTGGTTACACAAATGTCCAAGATTATGAATAAGAAGGAAGGTCAGTTGATAGTATATACTGTCTTTATTTTGTTATACTCATATTCCTCTTAATAGAGTATTGGCAGGATAAAGTTCGACTCGACTTGAGTGGCCTGGAGTGCTTTGCTTTCCGCTATGATGTCAAATGGCCCGTTTCGCTTGTCCTCAATCATATCGCCATATCCAAATATCAGATGATCTTCCGCCAGCTTTTCTATTGCAAGCACGTTGAACGTCAGCTTTGCAAGTAAGTAGAATGCGAGATACACAGATGGTCGATTCAATCTTAACACCGACTCATTAAATACTTTGCAGAATTTGGAAAGAGAATGCCATAACCAAGAAGTTCTCGCCACATGCTGCCGAACTGTATCGCTCAGCCTTTACACTGCGCCAACGTATGATGAACGCCATTCAGAATCTCGAGTATTACATGATGATTGAGATTATCGAGCCGAATTGGCACATTTTCATCGAGAAAATGAAGAAAGTGGAGAATGTAGACAATGTGCTGAGCTTGCATCAGGACTTCCTGGACTTGTGCCTAAAGAACTGCATGCTAACTGAATCATCACATCTGAATCGTGCCATATTTAAATTGTGCAAGATTTGTCTCGGCTTCTGCGAGTTTATACAGGTGAGTGGGCTCCAAAACTTACCCAAAAAGCTGCTTATGGTACCCTTAAGAGCTTTGAGTTAACATCTTATTGATTTGTACGTACAAATATGTACATATGTATTGTATTTCTCTCTTCCCAATGCTTGTGTGTGCGTGTGCGCTTGCCTGCCCGCCATATTCCGATCTTTCTATATATATATCCTATACCATTGTATAAAATGAATAGCGCTCGCAACGATTCTTTCTCGATGCTGAGCTCAAGTCGATGGTCTGTGATAGCAACGACGAGAATACGGATAATTCTGATTCTGAAGATTGCTCGAATCGGCAACAGGTATAAACCTTCTATAGCCTCACTTCATGTTGCTTTTGTGCTTAACCTTAATTGCGTTTATTCCTAAAGATAATTATGATTTCCGTTCTGTATCACCCGAAATAGACAAGCACATTTATTTATTATTTATTTTCGCTAACTGCTTATATTAATCTGCAGTCACAATCGGTTTCTTCTTCCATTGTAAAACTAATCAGTTTTTATTTTTGCATGACGCTGAAGCAATTTCTTTATTTATCTAATTCTGTTCCTAGAATTGTTATCCAACTCACTATTCAGAGAAATGTGGTGGGGGTTGTATTACGAGTTGAATTATTATTATAAGTTCATCTTTATTTAGAAATATATCAAGCCGTTTAGTTTAAATAATTGTATTTTACTTTTTGCCGAGTGAATTCAAAAATGTCACGACCTTTAGTTCGTATTGAGGAGTACTATTTCGCTCTGCTCCATTTGAATATTTACATATAGATGTTATTAACTATTATCTAAATTATATTTATGATTTATCTCAAGTTACACATTGTACTGATTTTAATTTCTCGATTTCTTTACCTGACCCACTCTTTCGATATGTTTGCAGTGTGAGAGCTCGCTGGACCAAGCCGACACATTTGGAGAGCGGGTGAAACGATTTGATCTGGAGTTTACGGGTCTGCTGATATCCTTCCTTAAACAAATCAATGATCTAGCCAAAGATAATACAACCGATCGCTTCTTAAATCTCGTACATCGCATTAATTTCAACTCATTTTATTCGGATCAGATCGAAAAACTGTGTGTCAAGAAGGCCATGGGCTAACCTGATCACAAAAAACGTGAATAACATGAAAAAAAAGACAAAAGGAGTATTACAGAAAAAAAAAACAGAATTTATTTAAAAACAACATAAACATAAACAAACAACAAATACTTAGAACCTAAGAAAAAGCCGACATTATACAAAACAAATCTTTATGTTGCATCATTCCCGCCCACACCATATATTTGAGTATATATGACAAGTATTACCAATCAGTCGATTATCAACATTGTATATCAATAGCTAACATAATACACTAATTTAAGATACGCTGATGTTACCCAGTAATTCCGTGTTTAGTTCTGAGGAGCACTGTGCCAGATAGTTGACTGATTATCACAAAATTTCCTTGTTTTCCTTGTTTATTAAATTTAAATGTTCATTAAAGTAAATACAATAAAAGAAAAAAATAAAGGACTTTTCATTTTAACATATTTGAGAACTAGCTTGGACTTTTTTAGAGGCAGACTTTGGAACAGACTTTAGAATGTCAAAGATCACCACATAATCTAAATTTGACTGTCTACATCAATAATATTTTCAATTATGAATATATGGAGGATCCCTCGAAGGTTTTAATTGCAACATATGCGGACGACATTGTGGTCCTTTATATATCCAAATACCACCTAGAAGCAGCAGAGGGAGTAACCCTCCGAGGCAAGCAAAATACGAGGAGCTTGGCAAAATACCTTGGACCTAGCCGTACTAAAAGTTGGTAACGTCCTTACCAAGCAGGCTGCACAGTACATCGGGAGGATTTATATATGTATTATATATTTATATATACTTGTACTATACATATATATTTATGTACCATTTAAAGTTTATCGTTTCAACTTAAAATCTGAACACGAGCCACAATTTTTGGGATATACAAGTAGGACACCTTTATTTCCATGCTCGTTTAATTGAGGCATCGGATTGCTGCTCCTGCGATGGACACAACTGCGATCAACGTCACTGGACACGACTTTCCAATGCTACGCAGCTCCAGTGAGTGAATCACAGCTGTGTTTGATGCCGCTCTTCGAAACGCTTCAGTTGTTGTTGTCTGACCCGCGTATATAGTCAGTTATTGAACTTAATCCAGAACCCCATTCTCACTGTTATTGATATCCAATAATAAAATGACAGTTGAGAAACGAGTTCCAGTTTAATTACAACATTATACGTCGGGCACGCATGACTCTAACTCGGCTACCATTTGCACTTCACATTTCAGGAGGTGTCCTTCACGAACGGTCTCCTTGTACATACAAGTATGTATGTACATAAAACTAAATGCATATCATCTGGCCGGACATGTTTGAATGCATTTGAATTGAAAGAACCCTTTTGACTGTTATTGTTGTTAGAGACATATTCACATAACAGCCGAAGGACCTTCCACTTCAGAAGCAGAAGCGCGCGCCCCCAGCCTTCTAAGCTGCCTTCTAGACTCCTCCTCCTCCTCCTCAACAGTTGTATTTAGACTGTGGGCTCTTAGCTGCCAAAGTGCCTTATGGAATTAATCATCGACTACATAGCGGGCACATTTACAACTAAGCGCCAATCCAGTCCAAGCTCAAAAACCGTTGCGCCTCACAATCCTCTCCGTATACAAATACTTGTAGATAATAGCCACGCGGTAAGTTGATGGCTGAAATGAATAGTCAATAATACTTGTAGATTTCCTTTATACAAATATTCTTGAGCTTGAGAAGCTTACCGGACAGCAATAGGATTGATTGATTGAATAAAGCTCTAGTTCTTCTTTGAAGACCAATCGCTTAAGACGCCCACACTTAGATATAAGAGTATCTAGGTAGCTAATTGGGAAGAGTGTCCTTCACAAATTATCTGCCGCAAATTATACATATCTCAATATAAATATTAGATATTTGCAAACACATTTCTGGCCAGCTTCAGCAGTTACAATAAAAGTTTTTAAATGCCATGCAGGACTGTCTGAATAGCTTAGAGTGCTGAAACGGAAAACAATCACAAATCATTATTCGTATAAACTTTAAACAGGACTTTACACCACTTAAGGGTTGCATTTTTCCCAATAACTTTATTATTTGTAATTGGATCAATAATCGCTGCCATTATGTTGTTGCTAATTTTTAAATTTATGAAAACAAAGTATACGTCTTATATAATTGCGTTAGGAAGTGTAACGAAAGCGGGCATTAAAACAATCAATCAATATTACAATTAATGTTCCACTTAACTTCTATTTGATTTATTCTTTCTGTCCAATACACGAGGATAGGTTGACAGAAATAAATAAATTGATTGCTTAACCAAACTGTCGACTAACTGTAAGTACAACGATATAACAATATTCCATATAATAATCAGACATCATCTGACATCAGCTTGGCGCACATTTTGATTTTAAATTAAATTTTAATCGTCACATCATTACTTCTGACAAAAATAGAGCACAGCATGGACTTGGATTTATCAAATAAACTTAATGATCTTATTACAACAACTTAACTTCTACGGCTTGTGTTTAAATATAGGCGATAGGTTCGATGTCCACAGTACAGGAAGCATCAGGAACGTATATTGATCCGTACATTAGAATTGTCTATTTCTATTTTTAATTCAAATTTTAATTAGAAATCAGTTTATCTCTTATACTACTCAATATATTTTCAGTAAGAGTTCAAATGTTACGACATTATTTATTTAGCTACACATGTTCCTTTTAGAAACTTGTTGTTTATGGTTGGAAAGTGTAATTTTTGTTGAAATATTTGTAAGATGCTGAGCATCTCAAAGTTCTATTTAGAAAGTTAGTCTTGGTTCGGGCTGGTTAGGCGCTGATCCGCCTAAGACTATAGGTTGTTAATTGTTATACTTGTAATTATAGGTAAAGGCATGATTATAATAAAAACTATCTTAAGTTTTATACTTTTCAGCACAATTTGAATATACATTTCGTATTTTCTGTATTTGTGCTTATCCCGAACACATACACTTACATACGTACCCAGTATTCAGAATTCTCTTCATCTTCATTCATTTATACTTGTATTTGGATTTGAAATGTTCTTCTCGCGGTCGTCATTTAAACGAACGTTCTCATTGGCGGACAGTTTTCGAAACAAAAACATTTGAAGAAGGTTCGAAAAGGGTTCGCCAAGATGAAAATTCTTTCCAGCATTCATGCACTATTTATTTATTTTTGAAACAATTGATGAGTACTTTTTGGGATTTGGAAAAACTTTCGCACAATCATTGATTGGGTATGTTGGGAAACTTTCGAGAACGAAGTTACGTATATGACTCACAAACTATCGTTAACGACTGTTGCCTTCAATACTTTCTGTCGCGAATATGTATTTTTGGTTAACGATATCGTCTGGGGTCTTTTATTTTCTGCAGACTTTCTATGAAAACATAAAATCGATTCAACCGCCATGATATATCTTATCTTATTATATATTTATCTTTTGTCATTCCGGAATGAGTCAAAATCGAATGGCAATTAATAACGAAATGTTGTCCGGATATAGTTTAGCATAAAGGTATAGATAAAGTAATCTCTATGGCCCCTCACTACCTTACAATATGTACCTTTAACTGGGGTCTGCTACGACTACGATAATTCTCTTCGGCTTATTGGAATTTTGTGGGAAATGGGTTTATAAGGTAAAGGTTCTGTCTCAGACTTAGGAGGCTTTTTTTTCGTAAGTATAGCTTGACTTCCCCCCAAAACTTTGTTCTTGAATACTGTTTTGTGTACCTTCTTAATTATTATATTTAAGCTATATAGATATCCGAAATAATTTAATTTATAAATAATAAAATGCTTGTATTAAGTTAGTTTAGAATTAAGTTAGGTTTAAGTCATTATTTGTTCCCAATTTAAAATATTATAAATTTTTTATTTTGATTTTGAATATTTTATATTTCTCCATTTTGCTTAATTAAGTAGAAAAGGCAAAGCTGTCTGTACTCTTAACATTTAGATATCTTCACCGCACTTGTAAATTCATAAGAACATTTAATTGAATTAAAAAAAAGCTATATCGATTGCAATATCTGTAGGATCGGCAAATATAATTTTTTTATTATTTCTATAAGACTACCAAAGTTTCTCTTTAAAGCTCCATTCTCAAAGGGGAACTATAACTCCTCTTGTTTCTCTTGTTCTCTGAGCCCTGAGACATCCCACTATTACTATACTATTATATGTGTATTATTTTATAGACTAACCCGATCCAATTAGCTGGCTTAGTAGGTAGTATTATTCTTGTCATTCTGTAGAGGAATGCATGTATTAATCAAAGGGCATTATGGAGAATGGTTTCTTTTTTTCTTTCTGCCTTACTTCACCTTAAGTAGAATTTAGTTTTCTCCTCTACTATCTATTTATTATTATTATTAGTATTATTAGTATTATTAGTAGTGTACGTCTATAGTGTCTCTGACAACATATGGCTGTGTTAGTTATTATTGAGGCTTTCTTATTTAGCATTATTTGTTAATATATCAAATAAATAAAAAGTGCTGACTTACTAGAGTGGCCAGTTGCCAGTGGAAATGGGTCAAAGTTGCTTGTGCGCTGGTAACTCTAAACTGAGTTCTGTGGGCGATCAGTTTTGTGGGCGGGGGGGCACAAGAAGTTTATTTGGTCGCTGTGCGAAAATGTGCCAATTTTAATTTGGTATTCATTTTCGGGATGTATTTTGCGCAATTTTTCGCACAGCCACTGATGATGACCCCCAAGGCCTCAACTGCCGGGACACAACAACATCCTACACTCACACACTCACACACACGCCCACTCAATAAACACACTCATGCGAAGGGGCCCGGGAGAGGGGTCGGGGGCGGGGGGTGGAGGGAGAGATGTGTGCCCACAAAAGCCAATTTGCCAATATACTATATGTAGTACGTAGAAGCGGCCATGTTGGCTTCACGCGCACAAATATCCACATATACATACATATGCACATATACATACATATATAAATAGATGCAATATAGATATATGCGAGATGTGTGTGTGTGTAGATATGTATATATAGATGTGTATGCATGTACATATATGT